AAGTGATAGCCACTGCTGGGCATCTCTGTAGAACCTCCTAGGTCCATCCAAGACCTGTCAGGAGGCTGTCCATCCCCTAAACCCCGTTCTGTGTCCGGGCTCGTGTGGGTTTCTGTACCTTCCCAAAACTCAGTTACTCCCTGATTTGGGCTAGAGGTGTTGCGGTCAGGACTTGGTTCCTAGACCACCTCCCTGTATGTTTGACCCCCTGTAGGACTTGGGGTAAGGTCAGGCCAACTCTGGGGATTATGTGCCAGCTCTCTTGCGGGGTATGATTTATTTGGATACTCCCGGGTATCCTCCCTGACTGGAGTACTGTGCTGTGCAGGTGAATAGTGATTGTACCCCCGGGGTGACTCCCTGGCTGGAGTAGGCGTGAATGCCTGGTGGTTGGATAGGCCCTTAGAATTCCTGTTTGGGGCACTCGCGGAATCTTGGAATGTGCCGTTTGTGGCTCCATCATTGGTGATGGGCAGCAGCTCGTGCCCTTCCCTTTGCTCAAGGGGGTCCCCCTCCCCCCTGGAAAAGACCCAGGAGTCTCAGTAAAAGGTCCCGCCTAGGGCGGAGTTGGTCAATGTGCCGACGCAGGACACGACCGTTGTCCAGGGAGACCTCGTAGGACAGAGGACCTGTGACCCTGGAAATAGAAGCGGGGACCCATGTATGACCAGGCCCGTAATTGCGAGTCCAAACCGGGGCACCCACAAGTAGTTGTCTAGGTGCCCTAGGGTGTGAGGTAGATAAAGGCAGTCTGTCCGGATGCAACCGGTCAAGCTTCGTAGTCAGTTTGCGCCCCCAGCGAAGTTCAGCTGGGCTTCTCCCTGTAGAAGTGGACGGTGTGGTGCGATAAGAAAGGAGAAAGTCAGCCAACCTGTGATGCCAGTCCCCATAGGTGAGTTTCTTCAAGGCGTCCTTGGTGATGCGAACCATGCGTTCAGCCATACCATTGGTGGACGGGTGGAAGGGTGCAGAAGTGGCATGACGAATCATGTTGGCCTGCAAGAAAGCTTGGAATTCGGAGGAAGTAAATTGAGGGCCGTTGTCAGACACAATGACATCTGGGAGCCCGTGTGCAGCAAAAATCCCCCTCAGTATCTGAATAGTCTTTGCAGTGGTGGTGGATGAGACAGGTACAACCTCAAGTATTTTGAATGGCTGTCAACGAGGACCAAGAAGAATTGGCCCTGAAAGGGCCCAGCATAGTCAATGTGCACCCTAGACCATGGGGACTGTGTTTCCTCCCATCTATGCACAGGAGCTTGGGGCATCTCTGGGCGAGAGCATTGGCACAGGTGGCATGCATGCACCTTAGCCTCAATGTCCTTGTCTAGACCAGGCCACCACAAGTGGCTGCGCGCAAGGGCCTTCATTCGAACAATGCCAGGATGACCCTCGTGGAGGGAACCTAAGATCCTAGTCCTCATTGAGGTGGGAATGACAACTCTGTTTCCCCAAAGCAGACAACCCTGAGAGGTGGACAACTCGTTCCTTTTAGACCAGAAACTCTGAAACTCAGGACTAGGACAGTGCTCAAGCCATCCAGACAAAACCCAAGAAAGGACACGTGAAAGTGTGTGATCTGTGCCCGATTCAGCGGCTACATCCCTGGCGTTCAGAGGGGACTCTGGCAAGGCTTGGATGGACAGAATGTTAACAGCTGGCGCAGGGTCAGCTTCTATTACTGGCAGGGGCAATCTACTGAGGCCATCAGCATGGCCCATCTCTTTCCCAGGCTTGTGAAATAAGGAAAAATTATATGCAGACAAAAAAATAGACCACCTGAGCATTCTAGGTGAAATGGTTTGGGGAGTTTGCTTACATGTGGTAAACAGTCCCAGCAGAGGCTTATGGTCAGTGAAGGCCGTGAAATGCCTGCCATATAAAAAATCATGGAATTTTTTAATTCCAGCAACAACAGCTAAAGCCTCCCTGTCTATCTGAGCGTAGTTGCGCTCAGCAGAAGACAATGTTCTGGAGTAATATGCAACAGGAACCTGAGTTCCATCAGACCTGAGGTGGCTCAGGACATCTCCGACCCCGTAAGGGGAAGCATCACAAGCGATGCACGCAGGAAGGGACTCATTGAAGTGTGCAAGTACACTGTTAGAAGTGAGCAAGGCCTTGACCTCATTGAAACTAGTCTCATGTGTTTGTGACCACTGCCACACTGCTTGTTTGTCTAATAGCCTGTGAAGAGGCTCAGCTACACTAGCTTTATGTGGAAGAAAAGAATTGTAAAAATTCAGGAGGCCCAGGAAGGCCTGAAGTTCGGCCTTAGACTTTGGCCTAGGTGCTTCTAAAATGGCAGTTAGTTTGGATTCAGCAGGGTGAATCCCAGCAGCATCAATTTTGAACCCCAAAAATTCAGTAGAAGGCACCCCTATTTTGCATTTGTCCTTCTTAAGCTTGAGGCCTGTCTTCCTGAATCTTAACAAAACAGCCCTTAGCCTTTCAGCTAGAATGTGTGTGGAGTCTCCTGCAATTAAGACATCATCAAAGTAGGGGCAAACCCCCGGTATACCCCGTAGTGTCTTTTCCATTACGCTTTGGAAAATCCCAGGAGCGACATTCACTCCAAACTGTAGCCTTTTTACCTTAAAGGCCCCTCTGTGGGTCACAATAGTCTGAGCTATAGCATCATCATCATCAACAGGCAGCTGTTGATACGCTTGAGCTAGGTCAAGCTTTGCAAAAACACGCCCCCCCCTTGAGAGAGGCCAAGATATGACTGACCACAGGAACAGGATAGGCATGTTGCTGTAATGCCTTATTCAGAGTGCATTTGTAATCGGCACAAATGCGAATGTCCCCATTTGCCTTTAGAGGCGTGACAATGGGGGTCTCCCAAGGACTGGAGTCAACAGGTTCTAGAATTCCTTGTTGGATCAGTTTGTCCAACTCAGTGTCAATTTTACTCTTTAAAGCAAAAAGGACCCTTCTTGCTTTAATTCTAATGGGAGTGACAGTGGGGTCTAGTTTTAAGGACACAGGGGGTCCTTTGAATGTGCCCAGCTGGGGGCTGAAGACATCTGCAAATTCTTTGCAGACTTCCTGCAGGTCGAGTGTTTGTAAGCTGTTGAGCCCCGTGACGTGTATCCCCAAGGCCTCAAACCAATCGAGTCCTATGAGACTCGTTCGTTCACCCCCTACTACTAATAGGTCTAGTGGACCTTCAAAATTCTTGTACTGAACGTTAAGGGTGGCCTCCCCCTTAACACACACTCTCGAATTCTGAAAGTCTGTTAGCACAATGTCAGAAAGCCTTAACGTGGCCCGAGTTCCACTGCCGGAACAAATCTTCCTAAATGTATGTAAGGAGATGATTGAAAGTGCAGACCCCGTGTCTAGTTCCATAGTTAATGGAACCCCTTGTAGCTTCACCTTGAGTGACAGCTTTTTCTTAATGGGCTTGTGTGTGCCTGTCCTAAAGATGCTCCTTCGCGAAGCACAAAACCCCACCCTATTCTGGCTGGGGACCCTGGTACCTTCCAGGCGCAATTCTTCCTGAGGTTGTACCTTTCGTCGGCCCAGACACACAGCTGCAATATGTCCTTGTTTTCCGCACGCCCGACAGATAGCGGAGCGGAACTTGCAGTCGGTTCTCCTGTGGCGACCTCCACAGCCGATGCACTTGAGGGGAGCTGAAGAGCTTCCTTTCTGGTTCCCTTCCTTCGTGGGGTGGAGACGGTCGACTTCCTCGTCCGGATCCTCCTCGGAGTTCCCTTGGACTTCTTCTTGGTGCACGGATGCAACATCTGGACTGTTCCTGATCGGCCGCATGTTCTTGATGGCGCCGCCTGCTGCTTCTTCTGCGGTGACTTCTCTCAAGGCATCTTGGAAGGACAAGTCCTCTTTGGCGAAAAGCCTCTGTTGTAACTCTCGATGCCTTAGCCCGCACACGAATCGGTCCCTCAGTCGTTCTTCGAGGTCCTTGAACTCGCAGTGCTTGGCGGCCTTTCTTAATGCGGCGATGTATTCTTTGGCCGATTCTCTGGATCGTTGATCCCTCTGCTCGAAGGTGTGGCACCATGCGATGACGGACATCTTAGGCTGGAAATGCTCCTTCAGTAGCTTTTTTAGATCTGCATAGCTGACAGACTCTAATGGGACAGGTGCTGCGAGGTTCTCCGCGATTTCGAAGGCGTCTTGACCGCAGACACACAGCAGGGTGGCAGCCTTCAAGCTATCTTCCCTCACTTGTTCACCTTGAGGTAGTTTTCCACCCTGGCTACGTAGGACTCCCACCTCTCTGGATGTGAGACGTCGAACTTCGAAAGCCTTCCAATTTTTGCCATCTTCAGGAGACGGGTCTATCAGCCAGCCTACCCCTGAATGCGCACTGGATTGGCGGGTAGCTGCCGAGTCAATGCCGTTCCGCCGTTCAGGACTCACTTGGGTAAGCTTACACCTTTTTCTTTTCAGTCGGTGCAAGGCATCCCATCCTCGTCGCCAGTGTTGAGTCCTTCACGAAAGGCAAGACACGAGAAGCAGTTGTAGTTCTCAGGTTTCCTTTTATTCTGTGTTCAGCTTACAGATGAAGGCTTCAGCAACGCCCAAAAGCTCCCAGCCTCTTATATAGGCATCTCCCGGGTCAATGTGTTACTTTTCCCGCGCCAGCACCCGCGCATGCGCACAGGCGCTGGCGACAGCCTGTCTGGTCCTGGGCAGCTTGCACCTGCCCGGGACTGCCTGCAAACGCCCCGAGCCCGTTTGCAAGGCTCGGGACATAACGAACCCGATTATAGAATTCTTGTAAATCCAAATTTTACTAAGTAGCTTTTTTTGAGAAGTTTTTATTGAAAGGATTAATATAAGTATGATAACTATTTTTCTGGATATTATTAACTGATGATATTGAAAGTGAAAAATGTTTTTACTTTCTCTAATACAATATGCCAACATAGGTGATATATTGGCCATTAAAAATGTACATATTAAATTAATGACAAAGTTAACTTTCCATTTGCTTAGTTTGTGTTCTTCTTTATTTTCTTCCACAGGATAAAAATTGTGTTGAGATGTACAGTACATTAGACAAAGTAGGAATATGTACTGATCTGAACAAATGTACTGTTGGAAATGACTGGAGATAGGCAATCCTCCCAGATAACTGGGCCCATGAAGAGCTTTATAGGTGAGAATGAGTGTCTTGAATTGAACCTGGAAGTCAGCTGTCAAATAATGGACCTCATGTAGGAGGGATGAAGTAATGAGTATTCCATACTGTGATTTGTTGAAATAAGTAAATAAATAAGAAAAACGTATAAAGCAACATTTGTTAATGGAGTTGCTGTGTTTTCGGTTCTGTTATGTTCTTATATAAAATTGTTGCTTTGAAGTCTGTTTTTCCCAGGAAGTTCAATAGGTGAAAACAATTTTAAAAAACAAAATCTGTCCAAGGGGAAGTCAGAAAGAAATCTTATGAAAGTAATAAGTACAATTATAAATTTCAAAGGTTGGCCAGCAGGTGGAAGTTGGTGGAGAGTTCAGAAAGTCAAAGAATGAATCTGAAGAAGCTCTAGGAGAGACAATTGCAAAATACAGTAATTTTAGATATATATATAAAAAGCTGCAATATCAATAAACCAGGATGTGCTGAAATTAGTTATATTTTTAACTTTGATTAAAGGAGATAATAAATAAGATGGGTGTAGAAAGATGTGTTTTCAAATTCTAATTGCTGTTATAGCTAACAGTTCCAGAAAAGGATGTGTTTATTTCCTTCACTTATGTGAACAAATTGCTTTTTTAATTGCTTTTTTTCAGGCTTTTGTTTGTTGAGCTATGTATAATGATTTGATTTTTACCCCATGTCAAACCCTTTTGCCAAACTATTCAGTTCATAGTGAATTAGCTGGATTATAAATATATTACCACGGTTAAAAAGGCTTGTTTTAGACGCAACCCAGGCAACCATAATGTGTCCCTTATAGCAGTGCAAAAGATGATAGTTGAGCCAATTAGCATAACATTTTTCTCCACTCCATAACAGACAGAGGTATGCCAGCATAATATATTCTATTCCAATGGCCTATCTATTTTCCCTTGGAAATGAGACCAAAGTGTAAGGCTTGTCCTGATAGTTTTAATATGGGATGAATTAAGGAAAGTGATCGATGGACTCTTCCCACAAGCAAAGTATCCACTCTAGTAGAACTAGGATTGGAGATATTGGTGAATTGATAGAATGGCATGTTTAGCTGTCCATCAGAATTTCATCTGTGGAGTGGGAGGGGGGGTTGCTTACCTTTCCTTACTTATATGCTACCTCTTGGATGGTCAACAAAATATTTCTTGCTGTCCTGTGCCCTCCTTACATTGCTGTTCTTTACTTCCTCAATTTTTCATTCTCTCATGGCTATCCCCGCTGATCATTCACTCTACTCGCCTTTTGCACTGTTTGCTCTAAAATCTCTTGCATTTTTATTCAGTCATCTGTTGTATCATTCACACCATCTTGTCTTTCTCCCTCACTTGTCCTTCCCCCACTTTATTGTTTACATATTATCTTCTCCATTGTCTCCTCACTCCTCTGTTATTAACTCCAATGCTTACTCTCTCAGGGTTACCTGTCTCTCTTGCACTCTGAGCCACCCTTTCCACTTACTTATTCTCTCTTTTGTGAGCTCTGCTGTTGTGTCTTAATCTCTCTATGTAGAAAAAGAAGGGGAAAACATTGGGGAGTTTGGTCTGTAATGAATCGTCTAGATTCTTCTACTTTCTACTTTCTGGATTCTTCTACTTTGGTCAATGTAGTGCATTGAACAGGTTGCATGTTAATTGGGACATTTATCTAGCTATGTAGATAAGGAGCTCTTACACCAGGGGTGTCAAACTTGCAACATCATATGACATGTTGCAATGTATTGTGACTTTTTTTCATTGCCGCAATGGGGTGGGGGTGGTTCCACCATGACGCATCTGGCCTCCAGGGCAGCAGTTTGACACCCCTGTGTTACACTATCTGATTGGTGCTTTGCATCCAACGTCTAGTGCATAATCAAGCCTACTGCCCAAACCACAATATTAATGGAGGGAAGTCAGCAGTGATTAGAGCAGTGGTTCTCAACCTTTCTAATGCCGCGACCCCATAATACAGTTCCCCATGTTGTGGTGACCCCCAACCACTTATACATCACCGGGTGCAGGGGTGTGGCCAAAGAAAAGGGGGAAAAATGGTGGACAGCCTTGTTTGGCGACCCCCGTGAAATGGTCGTTCGACCCCAAATGGGGTCCCGACCCACAGGTTGAGAACAACTGGATTAGAGGGAAAGGAATACTCGCATGCTGCCAAAACAAGCTGGGAAGATTCCAGCCCCTGTTATATGATCCCCATAGTCACTACTGAAGTACCATAAATTGTGTATAAAGCAAGGTTTGTGTCAAACAGTGATGGGAAATATCACTTTTAACAGTAGTTCAAATACAGACTTAGCCTCATCTATATCCTGGTGATGAGAAAAGTTAAAAACACGTGATTAAGATGCAGTTAGGGGGAGTTCTGAAGTTAAACTATATGTGTTACTTTACCCCACAAGCCCATGTTAACACATGTTGTGGTAAAGTCACTGTATTTTAGTAATTTGTATTTGCACTTTCCATAAGTTAGGATTTTCCACATGTTGTTTCTAAGTTTTTTTATTAGTGACACAACCATAAATTCCGTGAGTGCATACTTTTTATCATGGTCAATTTAATTCATTTTTAATTGATCATTGTGATTATAATTTGCGAGACCGCCTACTACCTCATAGTTCCCTTCGTCCGGTTAGATCCCATAGGCTGGGCCTCCTTCAGGTCCCATCGGCCAAGCAGTGCCATTTGGCGGGGCCGCGGGGGAGGGCTTTCTCTGTGATGGCGCCCACGTCTTGGAACCAGCTCCCCCCGGAGATTAGGACCGCTCCCACCCTGTTGGTTTTCCGCAAGCTGCTTAAGACCTGGCTTTTCCAGCAGGCCTGGGGTTTATAAAATCTGACCCCTGGATGAATGTTATTGTATTGTTTGTTGTTAAGTTATGTCGTGTTTTTATTGTTAGCCGCCCGAAGTCCTGCGGGAGTGGGGCGGTCTATAAATTTTAACAAATAAATAAATAAATAAATAAATATTGTCCTATAATATAAAGGCTAATATTTTATTTTATACATAGATACATACATACATAGATACATACATACATACATACTGACAGAAGGCCACCCGAAGAGACTAGAAGCATTTGAAATGTGGATTTACAGGCGGCTGTTACGTATAAGCTAGGTTGACAAGATCAGAAATGAGGAGGTGATAAGCCACCTGGGAAAGCCAAGGGAAATTATCAAAACAATTAAAAAATGAAAATTAGAATATTTCGGACATGTGATGCAACACCCAGAAAAATACAGTATACTCCATTTAATCCTCCAGGGAAAGATTGAAGGCAAACGAGGTCCAGGCAGAAGAAGAACATCATGACTTCAAAATCTAAGGGACTGGTTTGGACAAAGCTCGTAGCACTTTTTCGTGCAGCTGCTGATAAAAACAGGATTGCCAACATGATCATCAACATCCAATAACAGATATGGCACAACAAGAAGAAGAATACATACATATGTACATACATACATACATACATACATACATAATGCTGCCCAAAAAGTCACCTCCAAATTTAATTAACTTTAAAGATAATAGAGCAAAAATTGCAAGGCAGCACCAGATTAAATTTAAATTTAACTAGAGGTTGCAACAGAATATCCTCTGCATGCCCAAACACCAAAAAAGGCAATGTTACCCCTGAGTCAAATTATTTTGAATTGTGCAGAATAAAGAAATACACATTTCAAGCAATTTTTCTTACACAATAAACCAATCTTCAATTAATATTGCTTTGTATTGCTATATATCGCCACTGAGATACATTGTAGAAATTGTATGTGAACAACTAAAGGGTTGTACAGAGACAAAGCATTGCATATGCCTTAATTGGCTGAGAAACTGGTGTAATTTAGTCTAATCTGGAGTATGGAAATTGGTGGGTATTTCTGGGAGAAGACAATATCTGGTATGGCTATGGAGAGTTCAAAATAATGCTTCATTCCACCTGAGATTCCTTTCAAGCCAGTTGCAAAGTGGTGTCCTTCCTTACCATGTGGAGGAAGCACAGCATATACTTCATTTTAGTTGGAAACAGCAGCATCTGTTCAGCCACAAAAACTGCTGTTGACAGATCAGAGCAGTTAATGAAGGTGGACTAACCCCACCTCAATTCTTCATTAGACTCAGTTATTTTATGTTCACAGACAACTCTTGTTATGGGAGTTATTAAACTCTTGGGAGTTTAGAATATACATGGAAAAAAGTCCAAATCACATGCATCAGTCACAAGTGTGAAAAGGGATCATAAGTCACTTTTTCAGTGCCATTGTAACTTCGGCCATTAAGCGAATTATTATAAGTTGAGGACTACCTGTACTTTTGCTATGTGGATTTCATTGAAGACACTTGTAAATTTCTGCAAAGAAATCTGCCATGGCACCGGACCAAAGGCATGGATAAATCAAGAACCTACTGTTCAAGTAAATATAGCGTGAAGGATATAGTCATGTCTTATATTAACATATTTTGCTTTCAATATAATTTTCAATACCAAAAAGACAGAAAGTGGAACAGGAAATGCATTGCATCATATGTTCCATCCAAAACTTTCCTGTTAATGCAGATTGCTAGTGTTCACTTTTAGTTACCATCAGAAAAAAAAGAGTTTGAACTTTATGTGTCATATTTAAAATGACATGGTCTACTTCTATGCATTTTTTCTCTTTAGAACTTTTAAGACCCCTGGAGAAAAAAATTGTTAGAAAGAATTGTTATTTTTTTATGCCCACAAACTAAAATATCGGGGAATTCATTGCATTAAAATAATTATAAAACTTCTAGTTATACATAATAATGCATAACAACTTCTAGAAGTAAAGTATTCTTCCCCGCTGGAATTGATAACTAACAGTCTGTGTTGATTTTATGGTGGACTTCCCCAGAGCTACTTATAACCCAGTTTTGAAGTTACAGTGGCCATTCCCCACCCCATATAGTCACTTGATCAAATTTTGAGCACTTGGCAACCGGTATGCATTTGCAGCCATTTGCAGCATCCCTTGGTTACATGACTGCAATTTTTAGTAGTTTTTGCTGGGAGCCAGGATTTACTTCCAGTTCCTAGCAAAAAATATCCATTGGCCAAAATGGATTCATTTAACAACTGCCGCAGAAAAGGTTTTGAAATAGGATACAGTCATGTTCTGAAGCACTTAACGACCATCATGATTTACAACTATAATTCCAGGCTCAATTACAGTCATAAATTGAGGATCACCTGTACTGCAATGCTGTGATCTTTTACTTTTGAGGTAAACACCACTGAAATCAGGTAGATATCTATTCAACTGTGCTGGATATGCCACATCCATACTTTTAAATCTAGGAGCTGCTTTTAATGGTCAAAAGGTCACACCAAGTATGAAATCAGATTTAATTTCAAAGGCTGCTTTTACTTTTCAATTCATTGTTTGATATCATTGCTACTTTTAGAATGTTGCAATGTTTGATTGGCAAATATTGCAGGAAGTTTATTTACACACTGTTCCGAGAAGAGATTCCCTCTGGCCAGTCCTTCAGCCAAAAACAACTATAAACTTCATTTGAGCTGGACAAAGTTTAAAAAGAGAATGAAGCAACGTACCGTCTAAAATAGGAGTGCATTTCCAAGGAAAAGTGAGATGAGAATGGGAAAAGCTGAAGAAAACATCAAACCCATATTACAGCTGATTCCAAATGTGAAAAAGTAGATAGTTCCGTTGCATTTATCCAAACATTTTACTTTTCCTATATATTTCTAGACTTCATTGTATGGGATTTTCTTTCTTTTTTTTTTTTTACTAATTTCTACCATGCTATTAATTGAGACCCTTCAGTGCTGTGGAACCAGGATGATTAGCCCTGTTCTCTCTCATAGGTTTTCTATCTGAAGTAGGGTGCGGCTGCAGAATGAATTGCCTGAAGATAATTAACATAATTAATTATGTTAATTAATTAATTATAAGATAAATAACATAATTAACATAATTAACATAATTAACATAGACATTTTTTAACCAATGCAAATTGCAGCAGTGGGGTTGACTAGTGTCCATATGTTTAAGTTTTATAATATAAAGATTGAAATGTTCTTAAAATCTCTTTGCTACTCAAACTCTTACACTCAAGAAATTTAAGAGGTTAAGGTACAACATTCAGAAGAAGAGTGCTGTAACCAATCCCTTGCTGATATTTTAAAAACATCACAATGATTATTAATCTACATCGGAATTATTGCCATTTCTTCATCTGTTTGTTTTTATTGATGCAATTACTATCTTTTTGATCCATCCAGATGGAGAAAACAAAAATATTAAAACTTAGAATAAGAAGAAATGGCATCTTACTTTTGGACAACAAGTTTACTATTATTTAGGTAAGTAGCAGTAGAATACTTTTTCAATCAGGCCTTCAACATCTGAAAACCAGCAGTGTTGTTTTTATATACACATTTTCAAACTATATGCACTAACTGGATAGCCAATATTCTCTACCCTATTCCATGTACAGACATCAGCTCATCTGGCTGTGAGACAAATAATGCTTACCACACCTGAGAGGAGAAGATTAGCTTGGAGGGCTCAGGGAATATTGTAGAGCCCACACAATGGTGTAGTTTAACACCTGGAATCTTTAAACAGCTGATTATTTTTCTGGGACCTTTGCCAGTTGCATAATTAAGGATTTAAGAAACTAAATAGGTGAAACATGAATAATCAAATAAACATCAACAATGTCAGAACAATCTCTGATTCAGCAAAGTGGGCTGTCTCCTCTCTTGTCTGAGGTGGTTGCCCTATTCTTTCTAATAATGCAACTTGCTATTAAGTATGGTAGCAAATATATTAATAGAGATATCTCTTATTCAGAGATAATTTTATTTATTTACTTATTTCCAGTGTTTATTAATTTTATAAGTAACCCAAGGTGATGAACACATCCAACACATCTTCTCCTCCAATTTTCCCACCACAATGACCCTGTGAGGTGCATTGAGTTGAGAGAGTGACTGGCCCAAAGTCAACCAGCAGGCTTTCATGGCTAAGGCTTGAACTTGAACTCATGATCTCCCGCTTTCTCCCTTATCTACTAGGCCAATCTTGTTCTCCCACCCTCCCACCCAAAAAGTCTTGTTTTTTTAAGTTTTCATCTGATAACCAGAAATGAAATTAGTTGAATCCTGTAAATTTATTTCTCAACAAGTAATTGGTAACATATACTTTCTGTTGTAAACCTAAACATACATTATTTGGAAATATGCTCCTTGAGTTCAGTTTATTTGATTCCAAATAAACAAATTCTGAATCATGTTTTAATTTTTTTTTCAGAAAAACTCACTTGTACGAAGAGTTATTTACTGTAATACAGTACCTTACCGTAATACTGTTCATTTAAAGGATATAATAGCCGAAGCTCAACTTTCATAATAATTCCTATTACATTCAGTGGTATCAGATTAACCTTTGGCTATTTCTCACCTCTTTTATTCACAACAAAGAATATAAGAGCACTGCAACTGGGAAGATTTATCCCTGCTTCATTGAAAGTTATAACTATTAAGAAAACAGTTAGCTATTGCAAAATTAGATGTTAACTGCAATGAGAATTATTTATCGATAAATTTGCACAGGTCTGTTCACTAGTCCTACTAAATTTCTGAGAATGCATTACTAGAAATGAAAATCAATTCTTCTTGTTTAGATTTCTGAAAATTCTATGATGTTGGAATATGTCTCATTAAACTCAATGGAATTTGGGTCAGAGAACCAACCTAGAACTGAACTTCTCAGAGGCTGTTCTTCTAAAGCCTACATTCAAAAGTAATGCTAAACATAAAAAATAAGCTTAGCAAGCTTTGATTTTGTATGATATCTTGAGGCATAGGACTAGCCAAGAGATAAGGCTATGACTGGAATGCTCTGATTGTAGCAAGTGCATGATTTAGCAAATGCTTTTGTGCATGCAATTTCCAGAATTTTTTTATATTAGCACTTATATGAAATTGAATATTTGTAGATGAAGGAAGTCGCCTAGAGATGTCAGCTGAGGTAAACCATTTTGAACATGATATTATTTTTGATTTACCAAAAGTACTATGGAATGCATGATTTACTGGCTACTGGCTCATGGATGAGCATGAACAGGCAAGGTCATGGCAGCATGGTAGGAGCATATCTAAGTTTGCATTGTGCAAGCAGTCCAGTTTGGAAGCTTTCCTAGGCTCAGTGTCATCCAAGGAGTGGGTGTGATCAGGAATGTTTTCTGTCTCCATAGGAAAGTACATTATGTAATGCCATTTGAGGAGACTAGGCCTTGCTACAGCTACTGAATTTGTAGGGTATCTATTCTTCCTTATTATAAAACCACTTAATACAAGAGGGTCTTTAAATATATTTTGGATTTGTATAAAATGTGCTCCCTAAGTATTGGTGGATTCTCAGACTGCATAGGTTGTCACTGTTTTTCCTTCAGTTTTGGAGCTGGTTCCAAATCCTAAAAGATTCAAATCAAAGCTCCATGAGGGGCTCTCTGCCTTTTGATTTATCTCAGAAAGTCAGTACTTCTTACTAGTAAATGCATTTATGGAGCCAAGTGCTAATTAACATCTGTCAGAGCTCATCATTTCAGGCCATCATGTGGTCCTGCATGTCTTGATTTAAAATTGAATTACCCAAGTGAAGTTATAATATACATTTTTTTTTAATAAATGACTAATCTCAATTGTATTGCTTTTTTATCATTCTTCTTACTATTACTGTGCTTACCACAAAGATCTATAATTAAGTTAAAAAGATGCAAAGTTCAAGTAAATAAAAACAATAAAAATCATTGTTTCGATTTAATTATGTCAAACAACTTTCAAAAAGGATTGCTTAAAATAAGGGTTCCAGGACATGTGAAATGAACCTGACAGGTGACTAGAAAGGTCTCATTTCTGTCTGATGATAGGGAGGTATCCCTTTTGCTGAAATTATTTGTTATGGGCTAGAAGCCATCATCATTATGGCAAGTGGTTAAGTATGCCTTGGTAATTATGCCTTTTAATAACATAGATATTAAAAACATAGATTTGTTATAGTTTCAGTTTTTGGAATAGAGATGTATTTATAAAAATTATATTGCAGAATAAACATGAATTATAATGGTAAATACTGATTATCAATGAGTATAAAGTGTAGATGTTTGTACTCATTGGTGGACCAATGGTGGATCAAGCCAAAACTACTCAGAATATTTTGTTCTCAAAACAGCTAATCGGGTGCCAATGAAAATTTATAAAGATGACAACATGTTTTGGTTGCAAGCTGCCCAGAGTCTTACAAATGTTTCAAATAAATAAATTAAATAAATGAGATAAATAAATGAATCTTTCTGTAGATGAGCCCTAGAAACTGGAATTAACAGGCTTGTAAGTGTAATACAAAGGAAAATCATGACTTAATAGACTTTTATTCCATGACCCTTTAATATGAAATTATGACTTGTAATAGGCTGACATCTGCTCTATATTTTCTGGTAGCAAATGCTCTAATTTGATCTTTGCTTAAATTCTCTCCATTCAACTTAATTGAACAAATTCTTCAAAGCATTTAAAACTTTGAAGAGAATTAACGTTATTCTCTATACTTGCCAGGATCGTTTATCTCTTTTTTTTTCAGAAAAAAAATTCAGAATATTTATATGGCTACTCATCCAAAACAAATAACTTCACTTAAGATCTGCAGGTTAGAAGTTCTAGACAGAAATCAGCAAGACTCCAAAGGATAGATCTGCTGTATTGCCACAACAAGTGGATAATAAAATGGTGTGTGTTATCTTTCAAGGTCTGATTAGTGCTCCAATTCAAAACTTTAAGGAAATACTTTATCTATTACCTTTCTGGTGAAAAGAAATCCATCAACATTAAACAAGAAAAATTACTGGCAAAGATTAATAAGTAAATTGCTCATACATAATCAGCATTTCTTCTTTCGTATCTTGCATAGGTTAAAGTCTCTGACACATGTAAACATTTTGAATAACCATATTAGAATGTAAGCAGTACTGCTTTCATTTTGCTTTATTGCTATGAACTTTAAAGAAGAAAAGTGGAGAGAAAATCAGATGTTATGCTTCTACACACATTGACCCTTTTAAATTCATTCCAATCCAGCAGGATGTTGGAAATGAGGGGCTCAAAATTTTGTCTGCACTTCAGCAGCACAACTCCCAGAAAAATGATCAGAGAAGGCTCAGTTTGGTATTGAAAGACAAGCTAGCAAAAGAAAAATCAAGTCTGAAAATAGGACAGATTTAATGGGGGGGGGGGTAAAGAGGAAAAACAATCTGAAAAAGTTTTCCCAGAGCATTCTTATGGGTAAAGAAGCTGGACAGAATCAGAATGATGTGATTGCACCCACCCAGGCAGCTGTTCTCTCCTGCTCATGCGATCCAGAGCAAAATGAATGTAGCAGGCTGGTTCTTCCCAGTACACATAGGTATAGTACAAGGATAGAGCAGAAACACACATAAAGATGTAACATGTTACTTTATTCTACAGAAGAAATACAGATGCCTGCACTGGCCACTCCTAGCAAAGGGTTAGAAAAAGTCTTACAAGTGATGCCATGCTTGCTCTCAGTAAGGGAGGGAGGGAGGGAGGGAGGGAGGAAGGAAGGAAGGAAGGAAGGAAGGAAGGAAGGAAGGAAGGAAGGAAGGAAGGAAGGAAGAGTTCCATCACTCACTGTCAGCTTTCCATAAGGAAAATCATTGGGAAAGTCCATAGGAAGTCAGAATCACTCCCACTTATATATACATACACACACACACACACACACACACACACACACATATATATATATATCCTCCCTAGTCATTCTGTTTTTCTATTTGGGCAAGAAAATATCTCTAAGCCAATGACATATGATTCTCATTCACAGAGTTCCCTGACTCCTTCAAGTCATAGTGGAAGTCTGGGGAGGTTGCAGGAAGAAAATTTATGGAGATCATATGACCACAGCTGACAGTGGGTTTGGATTTGCAACTTCATTCCTGGGAAGCTTCCAAGGAAAAAGTCAAAGAGGAACCTTGCAAGGAAGGTTGCACGCTATTTGAGCAAGTCTCCCCAACTCATGCACTCTTTTCCAGTCCTTTTGTGCTCACACAGCACCGATCAGCCTTGATCGAACAGGTTATGGGTTGGCTAGTATTTTATCACAGGGATGGTTTTGATGCCTAGTAACCACAGAGACATTTCAAGATATAAAATGCATTTAAAGAATTTTATGGCTGCTGGGTTTTGTGAGGAGAAAAAAATGTTAGATAAGATAACCTTTATTGTCATTTTATGTACACACTGGCACACATTAAAAATGAAATTCTGATGCCCCCCTCTATATATCTATATATTTCTATATATTTATAGCTATATCTATATCTCTATATATAGATATATACACATACACATACAGACATCTATATATATGCCCTCTCTCTCTCTCTCTCTCTCTGTGTGTGTGTGTGTGTGTGTGTTTAATGCTATATGTTACAAAGCTACTACAGAATCTACAGTAGGTGTTCTGCTTCAGATATCACAAAGCCTCCTCCCAGAAAGTAACAAAGAAAACTGGTCATGGAGAAGATGTGCAGTGTCCCGACAATATTGTGGAGCCTGGTTAAGCAGAGCCTATATGCTATATCCTGGATAGAAGGAAGTGAACTTCCAATAGTCTTTTTTGTCTTCCTCACCATTCCCTGCACAGCCTTCATGTCCAAAACAGTAATACTTCCAAACCAGACTATAATTCAATATGACAGGATGCTCTCGATCATCCCTCTACAGAAAGTGATAAGGACAGAAGGAAGGGATGCTCTTTTCATGCGATGCTGAAAATGCAGGTGTTGCTGTGCCCTCTTCACTAGTGTCTTACTGTTGAATGACCAAGCTAACCTACTTGTTAGCTGCACACCTAGACACTTGATAGAAAAATCATTGCCAAGTCAGAAAAGGAAAAGCAAGGAAAAAAAGGGAAAGCTTTCCTCTCACAGTTCCATACTATGAAGACTGATGGATGTTTAAAGGTTTTGTGAGCATAAGTCTGATAAGTCTGATCTTTAGGGCAAAAAAGAAAGAAAGAAAGAAAGAAAGAAAGAAAGAAAGAAAGAAAGAAAGAAAGAAAGAAAGAAAGAGAAAGAAAGAAAGAAAGAAAGAAAGAAAGAAAGAAAGAAAGAAAGAAAGAAAAGCTCCATTCTTTGGTAGCTGATTAAACTGAGTGAAGTATAGAATGTCCATGCTCATCAACAGAAAAGGTAGCAAAACTGTCTGCCGACTAATTTACTTTTAAAAGTTTTGGATTTTCTCTCTGATGTTCAAAAAAATTAAAGTAAAATAAAACCAAATCACTTATTCAGCCACAGCTGCAAAAGCAAGCAATTGTAGTCTTGTGACTACAATTCCCACTATCCCTTGTTACTATGGTAACTGGTACTAGGTTTTGGAAGGCTGATCTAGAATGTAGCAGAAGTATTCCCTCTGTCACTTTGTGAGTGTTGTAAAAAGTGGGACCTTCCAAAGCCATTCTTAACATTAAACTACAAATACATTCAGTTTTTAAAAGAATGTTGATTCTGATAAGGTGAAGGCATAAGTTGGAAGATTATGGCAGTCCTTTAAAATAAGTCTTTTGCAATGCATGGGAATGCATGCACAATACCTCTCTTAATCCATTATAGCTGTGTAGCTGTGTCTTTTTCCAAGCGCATAGGGCTGCTTCTTCAAATGCTCACTTTTTCCTAGATCATGAGGCAACCGTACTAACCTAGAAAAAGATATAACTACTTTAATGTTTTGCTTCTTGCATTTTCACATTTTAAAAACTTTAAACAGCCCTACTAAAAAAAAAAACATTGTTAGTTCCTATGGATAACATACAGAACACAATTCTAACTCTACAGGAAAGCTAAAACTACATTAACTGACATGGCTATAACAGCATCTTGCAAGTCTCATACTTAGTGAATTAAGGAGGCATCTGCCTGAGCCACTTCCAAATATTATCTTATTGCTCTGGATTTAAAACAAGTTTCAGCTCCTTTTAGCTAGGTAACAGTTCCTGCATTTTGGTCTGGTTTATCTTCTGCACATCCTAACCTTACTTCAGTACTCTCATGCATTCTAACTCTTTGGCAATAGGTAAGGGCTAGAAATTCTTTGGAAAGAGGAAATCAGATTGTCTTGTCCCCTCTTTCAGGCAGGAAATGGGGCTGAGATTGCTGTGGTTGTGTCAGTGAATGTAATGGTATGTAGGAATGACCATGGGAAACATAGGGAGGGGAAGGGAAGAGATGCTAAAGGACCTTATCCCGTACTACTGATGTGCTGTGGAATAGGTCAGCCCCACCTTTTCTGTTTTCTTCCAAAGTAGTTCTGCTTTAGCCAAGCCCTTTTAATCAATTAATAATTGACTTTCATTCCTCTATAAGACTTCTTTTATTGTTAGCTTGCTTTATTTTGGAAACCACCTATTTTTATTGTTACTCAGAAAAGCAGCCTACCAATCAAATCAAATGTCTTAGAATTTGTTGGATCTAAAAAAACCTCTATATTACTGGAACACTGGATTCAGCCCCCCCCCCCCAAAAGCAAGCCTGGAGTTGCTCTTTGCTTACTTCCCAAATGTTCAAAGTTACTTTTTTTTTTTTAGACGGTTTTATGGTTAAAGAGCTTTCAGCAAATTGGCTCTTGGACTGAACATGCATTTGAAGACATTAGTAAATGCCATTTATTCTTTCATAGGCCCTTGACCGATGGACTAACATTATCCTGGGAAAATACAATAGAGATGTGAGTCAGCTCTAAGAAAGCCAGTTTGGTTTCGTGGTTAAAGCTACTGGATTAGAAGCCAGGGGATTGTGAGTTCCGTTTTGGGCCAGGCACAAACTCTCTCAGCCTTAGGAAGATGGTAGGGGCAAACCCCACTTGTAAATATGCTGCCAAAAAGATTGCCTGGACTTGTTCCTGTAGTTATTAAGGGGTAGGTCACTCAATGAACTGTAGAAACAACAATTTCTTCATTATGGAGGGTCATACAGTGTGTGTAAACTCTGCCCAGGCATTGCAGTTAGAACAATTGCTCTTTGGTAGTTTATTTCCCTATGAGCAAGGTATATCCACAAACACACCCAACTAATTTGCTGAGGCAGTCTTTATAATTTGGTGTTTTGTGCTGCATGCTCTTTAATAAGAGTCTTCCCATGACAGCACAGTGTACTCACCTTTCCAGTCACAGCAGACTCATGAAAAGAACAATGCAGTCAGCCCTCAGCAACCAAGAGGTAACAGGGAAGGCAAAGTACTGTTAGGTTTGCTGTTTAAAGCACAGGTCCAGAGAGGAGTAAAACTGTTGGCAACTTTGCCAAAAGGGCAAACTTCTGTGCCAAGAGAACCCTTTCTCTGACAGCCTCTGCTTCTGTGGTTCTGTGTAAAACAATGAAAGATGGAGAAAAACAGAATTTCTTTAAACAACTCCCTTCTAATGCTGAAAGAAACCTAACAACAGTGCCCCTGTTTGTTAAAGATGAGATTACTCATTTTGTGAAGCTTGAGAGGTTGAAAACAAACAAGGAAAAGCCAGTTGAGAAATTGGGTAAGTGTGTTTGCATATAATTTACATAATTCTCTGACCATTACCAAAAGGAAAAAAAAAAATGCACCAAAGCTGAAAGGGAGAAAGAAAAGATTGGTTGCCTATGTTGCAACAGGATTCAGGGGGAGTGACCGATGAAGAAAAAGCTCAAAGTAGGCTATTCTTTGGAACAGTCAGAAGAGGCAAAGTAAGAATAAGACAGGATTTGAGAGAAACCAAGGAAGTCTTGTTGTAAAAGGGCAAAAGTGCCCTGTGCCCAGGTCTGGAATGGCTTTCCATTTTCTGGGTTACACTGTTCCAGTCCTGTTATTGGCATGCTTTACTGCTGTGGCTGGTAAGTCAAAACTTTAAGTAGATGTAGTATTTAATAATAACAGTATTTGGGGGGGGGGGCGAAACGACATTTAAATAGACAATATTTAAGCACGACTCTTTTTTAAAAAATGGAACTCTAAGCACCCCAATGCAAAGATACACACCTGTATTAAGAGCTCTAGATGAATTCTTTTCAGGTTTTCAGTGAGGAATTAATGGAATAGTTTGAATCTGCTTTGATTTCAGCAAAATTGTGTCTTGTAATCTTAGTCGCATATGAAATTTTCATCATCCTGTTAGAGTTGTCAGACTTTAACCTACAGACAAACATAACAAAAGCAAAAAGTTCAGGTATTTGGACATGAACGTTTAAATTATTTTTATCATTTTTCTGCACTGGATAAATCCAAAACAGATTTTTTGAAGTAATTTTCGTTGCCTGTAAGGAAATTAATAATACAGTCAGAAATAAGAATAATATAGATATGTTTGTGACTACTTAGAAGTAAATCCCATTGATTCTAATGGACCTTATTAAGTATGCATAAAATTGCAACATGTTGTTCTGAGCTATAATTAAATTCCAAAGACATGCTGGTGAGACTGATTTTTACTAAACAACGTAGAGTGTAGTCTTAAATTTAGCAGTAGCTGCAAATGCAATGATTGTTATTAAAAGGGGTGAATGAATTTCTCCTGCAATTTTAGAACATTAATGAAATGTTAAATTTAGACAAATGGTTTCAATGCATGCCTACATACTTACCTGAGAGTAAGTCTCATTAAAGTCTGTATGATTAATCTTGACTTGATGCATATAGAGTTGTTGTTGTTTTACTGAAAATAGCACACAGTAGAATTCTAAATTCACAACAGAGTTGCCCTTCTTATTGATTTTTGGAAAATTAAGTTGAAACCAATATTAGTGTATTATATTATAAGGATCTGTGGTAGATATTTCCTTATTTGTGATTTATTTAGTCTTCTATATATTATCACAGAGCAATAATGAGGACAGACTTTATATTAATTGCCTCACTGATGATTGGGTGCTACTGGAAGACTATCCAAACGTCAAGTGAAAAAATGACTATAGCATCACATATAATTTTATTTTGCATAATACAGCTGCAGTTCGGTATTCATCCTAGTAAACTTTTAAATGGCATTGCATTGATATTTTTTTCTATTTTTGTGATTTGTTTATACAGATGCAGCTATATTTGAATAAACAATATAACAGATGTACTATTTTCTTTCTCTTCCTGCCTAATATCAAATATTTATTATATGACAAGTAGAAAATTACTAGGCAAGTGACAATATGTACTGATTTTAAAAATATGACATTATTTTTTAACGTATGTTCCTCCTACTAGATAGTAAATAGCTATTTCTAGAATTGCCCCTTTTCACATCCTCTTGAAATATTTATTCTCAAGTTTACATAAGTTAGTTTCATTAAATCCAATGTAGTTCTAAACTGTATCAGTTATTGTAATAATAGTAGAGAAAAAAAACTCTAATCCTAGCTATAATTTACTCTCTCTTCTAGTCTTCATAGGCTTACTTGAAAAATGCAATCTTTCTTTCTGTAACGCAACAACCAGACAGGTTCCTTTTAAAACCCAGTATATATTCAACTTGAAATAATACAACAACCTTGGTTGCCTTCCAAAAAAGTCATGGCACAATTTAGTTTTCCCACTTCTGGGCTGTGTTTGTTTCTTTTTGCACATTCTCCATTTGGTTATTCATTGGATTTTTTTCAGTCACAATCCATTCCATAGCTATCACACACTGGGCAATCCTTGTTGCCTTGACACACTAAGTGGTATCTTTCATGGATGGAAATTGCCTGGCAATCTGTCTCTCTTGAATTCCAAGCTGCAGGTCGGTGTGCCATCAGTCCATATGACATTACTATACTGTGTTTTTCTTTCCTTTTGCTCTTAAGCAATCTTTCTGACACTCTCTTAACTGGAATGTTTTGTCTTCTGTATCCCTTTTCTCTTAAACTGCCTGGTTTATGAGTAATCTTTCGTTTTAAAGCCCCCCCCCCCTTTAATCTTGAATAATCCAACAGTCTCACTTAAATTGCTGACTGCATTTTGTTAATGCAACCTGAAAGCAGGAATAATGAGTGAACTAATCATAATGCCACTTATAGACATTGTTTCCCACAACAGTAGCCAGAACAATCAGGCCATTCTCAGTTAAGATGACACATGTGAGAAGAATCATGAGGCCCCATAAGTTAATAAACTCTTATTTCTAAAATACTGTATATAGTGGATATCCTACTAATACAGGTGTTTGAGACTGTTGGGCAATGTTGGGATTCAGGATTTAGTGACTGTGGTCTAGACAAAAGATTTCCTGATGTTTCACTAGCAACTGGCATCTGACTGGCATCTTCAGAGGCAAGATACAAAGACTAGGGGTAGTTGAGCTGGGACTGACTGTGCTCTTGTCTTAATAGCTAGGTGTAATGACTTCTGATTGGTCTTTAATTGAGCTGGGTTCTTATTAGTGCAGGTGAGGAGGGCCATGTTGAGATTCTTTAACGTGCTGTTTCAACATGCAGGTGGTAGATGGAATATGGCTGTTTTAAGTGTTGCGGAGAAGAGTAATGGATACATCCTAAATAATATTTTAATAGAAAGGAATCAGTTTATGTACTATGAATGGGTACAATGTTATAAGTAAGTTTCTAACAGGTATTAGTTGCTCATCAAGTATTTTTAAGGATATTACAGTTAGTCCTTGCTTAATATTTAGTCACTTAGTAGCCATTCAAAGTTACAACAATCCCTCTTAAAAGGTACTTACAGTCAGGTTCTGGAGTTCAAATGATGCACACACCACAAACACACAGAGAATCACTTGACTGCATTTCGGGCACTTGGCAACCGGTTGAAGTGTTCCATAGTCCTGTGATCTGATTTATTAATTTTTCCAATTTCTAACCTTTTCTGAATTCCAGAAAAAACCACCCATAGCAATGAATGGACTTGCTTTATGACAGTAGTGTTCATTTTATGACAGCGGTTCTCAACCTATGGGTCGCGACCCCATTTGGGGTCGATCGACCATTTTTCGGGGGTCGCCAAAGAAGGCGATCCGCCATTTTCTCCCCTCAGGGGGCGCCGCCGTGCAGGCGTGCTGCGCATGGGGGTGCCGCCGCGCATGTGTGCTGCACATGGGGGCGGTGCCATGCATGCACGCCGCGCCGCGCATGCGCAGAACGTTTGTGTGACGGGGGTCACCGTCACACAAACGTTGAGAACCACTGTTTTATGATCACTGTGTTAACTTAATGACCACCATAAAAAAGATTGTAAAATCAGGTTGGTCATGCTGGTGCCTCAATTTACAAATGTGATGATTTACAACAGAAATTCTGGGCATCATTACAATCATAAGTCGCAGACAACCTGCACTAAAGGAGGAAAGTATGGTACTTTCAAGGAGATGTGGTTTTTTTTTTCATCGGTATAGTATTGTTAAGGATTTCCAGTTGAATTAAAGTAATCTTTATAATATTGGTGGTATTTTAAATAATACAAATCTACTGGTAGGTTTTCTGAAAAAGAGCATTATTTCTTCATTCAAAATGTCTTTTAAAATGTTCTCATTGTATGTGCAAAAAAAATGAGATAGAGTAGAAAAGAACATTTTGTGAAGTGGAAATGCCATTTAGCATAACCCAAGTTCAACATCATGGCTATTCAGTGAAACAAATTAAATAATATTTTATGAATTTATCATTAAAGGATAAATCATTGAATATAGGGAAGGCACTGATATTCCTTTCTTGAAGAAACAAGGTTCTAGCATCATTACTGTGAAAATATGCTTCAAAGTATCTGGTAAAACTCTTGAGGGCTAAATAAAATTCCTCGTATTGTGGGCTGGAGCTGCAACATATGCATAGGTATGGGTATATATAACTGAAGACAGCAAATATAGCTAATACTCTTGCCATCTTGTGTTCTTCACAGCCTTGTGAGATGGGTCAGTGACTACCCGGCTAATTTACAGTCTCCTGGTTTCTAGGCCAGCACCTTCACCACTATACCAAACGGACTCTCTTGATCTCCCATCTTGATAAAATATTGAAATTATTAGGATAGATAAGTGAAAATTAGCTCTCTCTTTTATAGTAGTTTCAGAACAGACCTTTTAGTTCTACTGGATATCATTTAATATAGCTCTTAGGATAAGCAATTTGCTATTTGGTCCAGAACTATCATCTTTAGCACCCAAAACCTCACTCTCATTGAAACTGGTGGCATTTTTCTCCTTTCTTAGAACCATATTCTGTGAGTTCTTATTTGGATTTGACTATTTCAACAATCATGAGTTTGGTGTAGTAGTTCATTAAGCTAGAAATTGGGAGCGTATGAGTTTTAGGCACAAAACCAGCTTGGTGATCTTGGGCCAGTCACTCTTGCTCAGCCATAGAAAGAAGGCAATGACAAACCACTTTCAAAATCTTACCAACAAAACTGCAGGGACTAGTCCAGGCAGTTATAAGAAGTCAACAATAACACAAATATACTAAAAAAAAAACCAGACAACAAAAATGGATCAAAAATAGATTATTTCTGAATTTGAAGCATTATTCATTGCAGAAACATGATACAAAAATAATAGCAAAAGATTAGCCAAGTCATCAGTTCTCATATCAACAGAAGAAGAACAAAGATGACATTTATAAAGTTAGAATATAATGAGCAATTTGTATGTTAGTCCATAAGAAGAAGATCCAAGGACCACAGCTAGGTAATACTTTTTAGCTGGATCAGACCACCTTTTGGCACATCATCTCTCCAAGGTTAGATTGACCACAACCCTATTGGCCTTTAGGAATTCCCTAGAGACATGGTTGTGCCATCAGGCTTGGGAATCCCATGGAGGTTTGGAGCCTGCAAAAGGGCTGTATTGTTCACACAGGCTGTTGGCTGGCCTTCTCTCACACTTTATGTTTCTAGTTAACTTGTTTTAATTGTTTTTATTTTATATTTTATTTTATTGTATTTATATGAGATGGCTAGCTATATACATTGAAGAACATAAATAAATAAACAAACTAAAATGATCCAATATAATAAAATGAAATATGAATTCTCCATAACTTTTCACGAGATGATAGGAAAGAAATAAGAAAAGCAAAAGTCAGGTGATAACACCCATTGTCAACAGTTCAAGATCTTCAGACTGAATCATTTGTTAATAAATATAATCACTGACACAATTATGTAAGACTGAAGAAAATGGTTGTTCCTCCAGTTATGAAAAGACAAAGACCGTTACTTCCTTTTACTCATTTTTCCTTTGGCTAAGTACACAAAATGCTGGTTCAAATTTTGAAGGGTTTCTAAAGAAATTACCATGCTAATTAATCCATATTATAGGTGGACTCTTTTTATGATGGTTTAGGTATTTGTGGATTATAGGCCAATCCATTTTTGAATTATAGTCCATAAACATTTATACTGCAATCGATCTTGTAGTCATTCATTTTGAATGGTCTTTTCACTTTGGTCTCTCTCTGATCAATCACAACATGTTTTTATTATGTAACAGCACCCTCTGGTGACAGAATCATTGCTTAATCTTATAGGTTACTTAAACATGCCTCTAGGTAAGAATATTTTCTCAGGGATGGTCTTCAGGTTATTGCTGTAATTTGGATAGATAAGTCATAAGTAGCAGTTGTGAAGAGCAACAATTTATGTGTCTAACTTGTTTAAATTACTCCCACTAAAACTGTAATATTTTGTTTGAGATATTCTAAAAGATCATCTGAGAAGTTCCTTTGAAGTATTTTTTTTTAAATATTTCAGACTAGAAGTATACAGGATTGTTCTTTAAATGTTTTAATCAAATTGTTGCAATATTTATATGTGGTGGAAAAGTTGGGCATCATTTCATCAAAATGAAAATATTAGTCAAAATTTGACATGAAGCAATAACTGAGAATAGAAATATTTCATAGCAACAAATGACTTATCTGAAGTACTGTCTGCTATTCTAGGTATGATGTGATGTTGTGTGGTGAATGAGAAATATGATCAAACATCATTGCAGTTGCCAATAAAAAAACACAATAGATAACAACAGGGGGCGTCAGGTTAAAAACCAGGAAACTTTTGGTTTTAATCTCGCCTTTAGCAAAAAGCCTTGGGCCAATCATTCTTTCTCAGCCCTGGGAAGGAGCAATGGCAAATTACTCCTGAAATCTTCCCAAGTAAACTGCAAGGCTTAGTTCAGGCAGTTGCCAGGAGTCAGCACTAACGAAGGCATGCACCCATGTATGCATACACACACATGGAATGGAGATGAATTTCCCGTTACAGAAGCGGCATATTTATAAGAAATTGATCATTTAAAAATCTATGCAAGTCCAAGGAAGATAAGGCCTTTTGAAACAAAGGAAAAAAGCAATGGCAAACCATCTCTGAAAATGTCATCAAGAAAATTGCATGTTTTCTGCATGTAATTGCCAGACATGCCCAAAGCTGTTAGTTCTTTTAATTTTAATTTTGTTTCCTGGCAACCATGGACCTATTTCAAGACATTGAAGGCCTCATGTATACTAGTGGTCAAGTCACGTGCAATATGATTTGTCAGTGGAGAATATTGTCATCAATCTTTTACCCTGCACAGTTTACTCTCCGATTGCCTTTGAGGCAGTCCACCCATTTAACTGGATCTTTATTAATATAGGCTATAGTAAATAATCTTAAAAGTCTAGCTTCAATCTTCGTTATTATAGCCAGGTGCTGCCACACACACTGAACAACTATTTCTTTTATGCTGCCTTTTTCACACTGATGCACCCTGCCCAAGGCCTCCATTCATGTGATACCTGGGTCTCCATTCATGTGATACCTGGGCTTCCATTTGTGTCCTGCTCAGGGATCCATTTACAGTACATTCCTCCCAAGACCTCTGCTCATGCCCTTCCCAAGATCCTTCTTTCACACTGACATAGCAGCTGAGGGGGAAAAAAATCACAATCATTAATTGTTAAGACAACTGGGAGATGGGTCTCTGTACACCTAAAGGCCTAGGCACAGAACCAGGTCATTAGGGCCTCAGGAGAGGGCAAGATTATTGCAAAAGTAGCTGCTATGGCAGAAAAAACATGCCTCTTGGGCCCAACTAGAATTTCTTAGCTCACAGGCCCCAGACTATACTATCCCACCAAGCCAGATTAGATGGATAAAAGTGACCAGGGAGAGATGTTCATTCAAGTAACCCACTTCCAAGCCACAAAGGACTTTAAAAGGTGGTAACCAGCACATTGAATTGCACCTGGAAGCACACCAGCCTCCATTGCAGTTCACAAGGTAGTGGTGTCACATGCACTGACTAATTGACACCAATTGACACCTGTGCTGCCTTATCCTGCTGAAGTTTCTGAGTGCTTTTCAAGAGCAGACCCATGTGGAATGCACTGCAATACTTCAGATGGGAAAAGCACATGACTGACAGTGAACAGGTCCTCCTGGTCTAATAACACTGGTCTACAAATTTTGGGAAATTATCGACCTCCGAGATAAAATGTGTTAATTCTTACATATTTTGATTAGATGAATTAGAAAACAGGTGATAACAGTGCTGGTTGGCTAAAGTTTTCAAGATATTTCACAATAAAGGCAAGTATATTTGCCTACAAGGGAGGAAGTTGTCTAATGATCATGATGCCTCGTAACCTCTCAACAAAGTATGGTAGAACAATGATAATGGTACCACATGGAAGTGTATAAATTTATCTTCATTTTGAGACTAAATATTATTATTGTAATTTACTGTTCTTTTATTGCAAGATACATTTGTCTTGGGCAGATCTACAAATCATACAGTTACATCTGGTGGCTTGTGAAAATGTTATTGCCTAACATTTCCAAGGAACAGTTGTGTGTTATTTTCCTTCATAAGCCAAGATGCCCCAAAACTGTGTAAACAATGCAGATAACTTTTGCTACATTTGTGGCGAGGTTACAGTTGCATTTCAAAAGTGCAACATGATGGCAGTGGTAAAAAAGGCATACCACTTATATTTTCGATGCAAAATAGGGGATTAGGACAAGAGTTAGCCCCCTCATTGTTGCATTACACATGCAACCTATCTGCATCATTGGCTAAACAAGAAGAAAGTCCATGCCTTTTGCAGTTCCAATGGTATGGAGGGAACCCGCCAATCATTGTAGTGACTGCTATTTTTGCATGGTTTCCCCCAACTGCAAAAGGGATCTCAAGAAAGACGTGGACTGTGGAATATCCAAACATTCCATACACAGTGCATCCTCTACTCCATGGTGAGGACTTGCCAATTCTAGCTTCAACATAATCCTATTCTCTAGACTCAGATGATGATAAAGACAACAGAATGTAGCTGATCTGGGGCCGTTGATGTCAGCGGACCCAAACTTTAGCCCACCGTATGGTCTTCCTGAACATCTAATTTCACAGAGGGAAATGACCTGGTCAGAGATTTGGAATTGTCTAAGAGTAATGCAAAGCTACCGGGCTCTAGATTACAACAGCGGAACCTTGCCATTTAATCTGATGTTAGAGCTTGTCAGTTTTTCATGCAAAAAGCATGAAAATGTCACATGAAAAACTAATAAATGAATGGAAAGTTATGTTATTGGTATCAATAAAAAGATAAATTTATAATGAATGGTGTGGCACCATTCTCACTGCTATATCACATTTTTCAGAAAAGTTATGGAGCATGATCTCACATCCCCTCTCATAATTTTGAATTATTTTGATGCAAAAGCTGTATCTTGGAAACTGGAGCCAATTAATACTCAGGACTTAATTTTCCTTTATTAGTGACCCAATTCTGGTAAAATTAAGCTACTTTCATTTCCGAGGCTTTCTCCTCGTAGACCAGTATGATATCTTCCCAGAAACCTATTTGGTTATAATATTGATAATATTCAAGAAGTGTTTAAAAACCCTTGACACTAAACACATTTCTTTTTGTTTAGTTTTCTGTTTTTTAGGATAAGCTGTCCAGAGTTGTTCTGCAGTTAGGTGGCCTCTAGGTCATATATCTAAATATAAATAAATATCTACTGAACTGTGAAAAAAATTAAGTTGAAACTAATAATAGCACAGCATCAAATAATTGTTGAAAATGAAATGAAATAGACTAACTTTTAATTACGTTTTTCCAGCTATGCATCTCTAGTTTAGGACACATATGATCCAACACTTTATAACTCATTTTACCCTTTTTTACAGTTTTGCCCACCACCACATTTTACAGATGCACTGCTACTGCAACGCATACAGTATAAATCCAAACCAGTGTGATCTCTGGCATTCTTAGGAAAAGCTGGTCTGTTCAGCAGTTGATTTTATTAAAATATTATTACCCTTATCTAAACAAACTAATGGAACTATTCTGAGTGGTTGTAAAGCTATCCTTTTTACAAAAGAATTAATTTTTAACTTATTTTTTTTACAAGCTATGGAACAAGATTTGGCAGCTAGATTTTGCTGAATGCTGTTTCTTTTTCATTTGTGTCTAGCTCAAAATGCCTGTGGACCACCTCCTAGAAGAGAACGTGAACAACCTATGGAAGAACTGGATGCAGAGACATATGTACATGGACATGTAGTATCATATAAATGCCGCCCTGGGTATGTTAAAGCTTGGCATATTAGACTTAAATGTAATGATGGAGTCTGGCAACAATTGGCACCTTCTAAGAGCTGCACAGGTAAGTAATGAAATAATGTTTTGCAAAATTCAGTAAAGACGGATACTGAAATGTTTAAGAAGTATTTTTTTCACATTTCTGATTAGTATTTTTGATTATAAGCCATCAAGTTGATGTTGCCTCTTAGTAATCATGTAGATAGATTTTTCTCCTGGACAATCTGTGCTCAGCTTGTCTTTCAGGTTTTCCAAAACTGAAGTCATCATTGCTGTAACTGTGTCCATCCACTTTGCTGCTAGGGTTTGAAATGGACTCCTAACATTAGAACCATCATTAAAAAGGCACAACAAAGAATGTTCTTCCTGTGTCAACTCAGGAAGTTCAGATTGCCCCAGAAGCTATTGATACAGTAATACAGAGGAATTACTGAATCTGTCATTTGTACTCCTATAACTGTCCGGTTTGGTACAACAACCAAACAGGACAGGTACAGACTCCAATGAATAGTTGGACTGCAGAAAAAGCAGTTGCAACCAGCCTGTCTTCCATAGAATGCCTGTATATTGTGCCAAAAAGAACAAGGGCTGACAAAAAAAGCTACAGACCCCTTACATCTGGATATAAACTGTTTCAACTCCTTCCTGATGATGCCACTATAGGGCATTGCATGCCAAAACAACTAGACACAGGGACAGTTTTTCCCTCATGCCATCACTCGCTGAACACCTAATTCTCATAAGACTGTCTTATATCTAAGTATATTTTTCCATGTTTTATGGCTGTAGTAGTAGTATTATCCTTCTCATCTTCTTTAATCCTCTTATTGGTATTGTTATTATGATTATTATTATTCTGTTGCTTTGCACATACATTGCACACAAGACAAATCCCTCTATTCTATTCTATTCTATTCTATTCTATTCTATTCTATTCTATTCTATTCTATTCTATTCTATTCCTTCCACTTTTCCCAGCATTACAAACTTCATCAAAAAGCTAGGTCTTTTCACAATGTGTTCAAAGTAGGATCCACTCAACCCAGTAGTGCGGGGAGGCAAGGAATAGACTAGAATTGAATAGAATTGAATAGAATAGAGCTGGAAGAGACCTTGGAGGTCTTCTAGTCTAGCCCCCTGCTCAAGCAGGAATGTTGTCCCCTAATGAGATACACCCAGTGGGACCCAAAAGAAGGGCCTTTTCCATGGTAATTCTCTTCCTTTGGAATATCATCCCTTCAGAAATTAAACTGGCCCTCACTTTGTTACTTTTTTTTCCTAAAGACTGGTTTTGCCAGAGGGCCTGGGAAACCCAGAGTGATTAATTTGATTGTGTGTTGTCCCCGGGATGGGTGGGTAGGGCTGTATTTTTTTGTTAATGTTCTATACTATGATTGTTTTGCTTGCAAGCTGCCTGGAGTCGCTGTAAACGAGTAGGTGTCTATATAAATTTTCTAAATAAATAAATTTTCTGTTTCCCTTTGCATTCTGTTTTTACTTGATACCATGAATTAGTGCCATGAGTGCCATGAATTACATTGTTATAACCAAAAATAGAAATTGCCTTTCAGACTGGATGCCAGGAGGAATATATAGCTATTACCATGATTAAGAACTTTGAATTTGCCATATGATGTCTTAACGAAAGGCATTTCATATGATTACACATCATTCAGATTATCAGAATGTACACATCAATGGGGTGAAGCAGGAGTGCAAGATTTCTGAATGTCATAAGACCAGGTTTAGTTCATAATGACAGTGAGATAGGAAAGGTGAAATAGGCAAGGGGAGATGTAAGCGCTGGGCAGTCTGAGGGCTTCCCAAATGCTAATTTTCTTACTGTATTGCATTGTATTACTTTTTTTTTTAATTTGCAGGAATATCTTGTGGCCACCCAGGAGATTCTGATTATGCCAGTTTTGAACTTGACCGTGGAGAGGATTTTACTTTTGGTGCCCGTGTTGTTTATACGTGTAATGAAGGGTAATACTTTTATAGTTTTTTCCACTTTCTAATTATTTGTTTTATATATAGCTCCATGTATTAAGAAAAACAAAAGCTCTGTCTCCCAAAATAATAATGCAATTATTATCTCTTGCCTGTATGTAGATCTTGATATGTGGCTAGTCCACAAGAGAAAAAGAAAGCCAAAAGAGAGATAATAGAAGAAAAATAGTCCATGTTATTCACAAACACACACACACACACAAACACAGAGAGAGGGGGGGAGGGAGGGAGGGAGAGGGAGAGGGAGAGGGAGAGGGAGAGAGAGGGAGAGAGAGAGAGAGAGAGAGAGAGAGAGAGAGAGAGAGAGAGAGAGAGAGAGAGAGAGAGAGAGAGAGAGAGAGAGAGAAATACTAGTTTGCTGTAGTGGTAAAGATACTGGCTCAGAAACTAAGAGACTTTGAATTTTAGGTTTCCCTTTGGGAAACATGGTAGGCAGGAGTATTAGATATGTTTGCTACTTTGAGTGATATTTAAAAGGCAGGATAAACATACACACACAGACACACACACTTGTATATATGTATACATATACAGACACTTTAAGATTGGGGCAAGATGAAAGTCTGATGTGATGTAATCTATAGCTCTTGTCTAGCCATCAAGAGGGTAGACACTGATTTAAGAAACACCTCAACAATAGCAGAAGTCCATTCTATTCATCTTTAGGCATTCGGTGGGATTCTAGATCTATTTAAGTAGAGATTGTGCAGCTATTCTTGTTAGGGAGTAAAGCTAACACTTAAATAAATATTGTTTTTTTTTAAAAAAAAACCACTTATATTCTCTAACTTGAATGTAGTATGATAGTACTGTCCTTAATCCTGACAAACAAATCATCCAATTCCACGCCTTCCTTTATTTTATATATGAAATCCTTATTTATTGAGATGCAATTATTTTCAGGAAATATAATACTGAGTGTTTGATCTTTAAGTATCATGGATTTAAAGAGTGCTGTGACATCAGATAAAACCATAATCTTATCTCTTATTATGTCTTTGATTTTATGACGGCACTGTAGTTGGTAGAATATTTGTTTCCTCTGAGATGTCCAAGCTTTTTGTAAGTTTTTTTGGCTATGTTGTATATTGCGGTCCTTGATAATGAAATTGTTAGATGAAGTATAATGTCTTGTTTATATATTTTGGGACATCCATAGAGGTTTGCTTGGTGGAACTTAGAAAACAGAGTTAAAAATACTAGGGCTGAGAAACACTGTGTTATACAATGGAGGCCATGCATTTTATTGTCAAGAATCCAATGCAGAACATAATAAAATAAATAATATTCCTGGGAGAGCAGCATCCTGAATATATAATCTGATGGATTATAAATCTTTAAGGAGATTTACACCCTGTGCCACAAACTAACCATGATAACATCAGATTGACACAACATGACATGATTGACATTGACATGATGCAGCCAAACTGGAACTTTCAGTTTTCACTATATTTTATATCAGTTTCTTAGTAATATGCTGACTTTCATTTATACCATAGGTGCTTTTTTCACATTGTCAGGATTTCTGCATTTGAGATTTATAACTCAAAGCAACTCAGTTTGTTTTTCAAAGTGACTTTATTTTTTTTATTAGCTGTTTAATTGCCTTCTACTAAAATGTTTACAGACATAAGCTGTATTTGTATGAAATACTGAAAAGATTCTGCACTTTTTTTTACTTCTGAATTAGTGTGAAAACCCAAATATCATAGCTATATCAGTGAAAATAGACAACATTATTAGTTATAATTTTTATTTTGCTTTCTTATCCCATATTTCAGTGATATAAAAATCTGACTTTGCTGGTTTGTTGGTGACTGAAGATAGAATTATCACACTTGTTTCATCTGAACTTATTTAATTGTATATTGGTTTCCTCTGTACCATAATATTTATTTTTGAAAGAGACTTCATTTTGCAGTGTTGCTACACAATGTTATCATGTTCTTAAATTTTACCTCTTATCTATCCCTTCATTAAATATTTGGACCACATGAAGGCACTCCTATACAAGGGATAATTAATTGCAAGTTTTATTTATACTTTTTGAGCATTTGTACTTTTCACTGTGCTACATATGCACATGTTTGTATTTGTGAGAGAAATCCAAACGACATTTAGTCTGGTTAAAATAGACTGCAATTTTAACATATTTTAGATTTATATAAGGTATGCAATATCTTGTATTTTATAAAAGATAGTAATTGTAATATTAGTAGCATGTCTTTTAGATGCTGGTTTCCATTTAATTTACCCCTTCCTACAAGAGGCAGCTAACATTGGATGTTCTTGCTTTGACAATATATAAAGAGGCAGGTTCTCTTTGTATAAGCTGTGTGGTATTTTAGAGTTAAATTAGATGATGCTGGGAGGGGAGGAGAAAGAATGTCTGTGGGGATTAATTAAGATAAGGAATAGCAGCTACAGAAACTGAAGGGAACCTTTGCCCTTCAAACTGATTGGAGAATGTGATTTATGACAGCAAAATAAGGGAGGGAAATATGCTGGCAAAATACGTGCTCCATGCTATGCCAACACTGCATTACATGATTAAAGACATTTTAGGATAAACAATGCCTGGAAGTTCTTTGAAGTATTTCATTAGTTGGAACTATGACACAATGATTCCTGGGATTTTCATTACAAAACTTTAAAATACTTTATTACAATGAGGTACTAGTACAAGTTGTTTTTAAAACATCTAAATATTTTGTTCCAAGTGCTTCTTGAAACATGGCACTTTGGTTCATGGGATACAATATTCCTTTTCTATGACCCTATAGTCCCTATTCAGGGTAGAGTCCGGGCAACTGGATGAAGCATTTACTGGCTGAATGCCCTTCCTGATGCCTATACAGATTTTGCAGCAGTTATTTTTTTCTTTGCTGCCTCTAACTAGGATTGAACTCTCAACCTTCTGAATGGGAGGCGAGCATGTTTACCAATAGGCCACATGCTGCTCAGTTCATAGATACAATCATGGGATTGTATTCTTGCTGTATTTAATATGTACAATGTTGCTTTTATATTATTTTGTGCTGTGTGAGTCTCTCTCTCTCCTCCTCCCTCTCTCTGTAATTTTTTTTTAATATCATACACTGTTTTGGAAATATAATACTATATATCCAGAAGTGCTTTTGAATTTGATGATAGTTTCAAACGTTTTGGAAGGGAAAACAAATGTAAAAGTTGGGGAGAATGAGTTTCTCATCTTTTTCTAACTAAATACCAAACTTGTTTCAGGTAAATACTTCTACAGTTCCAAGAATGATCAGTAATAATTAGAATAATGTATCTTCTCAGTATGTTCTAAACCAGTGGTTCTCAACCTTTCTAATGCCGTGACCCCATAATACAGCTCCCCCTGTTGTGGTGACCCCAGGGGCATGGCCACTGAGTGGGTGTGGCCACTGAGTGGGTGTGGCCACCGAGTGGGCGTGGCTACCGAGTGGGCGTGGCCGCCAAGTGGCCGCCGCGGGTCCCATCGCTGCAGCAGATGCACAGCTGCCCTTCCTCTTCCTTGACGCAATCTTTCACCCACCCCAGTGACTCCCTCCCCTTTCTGGGGTCCAGGCATACCCTCCGGAGCCCCGGTGTTTACCGACTGCAGGAAGCGCAGGGTGCCTACGTAATCCTGCTCGGTTGAGGACACAGAGGCGAAGACGCAACTGGCGGTCCGTATCCTTTGCCGGATCCAAAGGGAGAGCACTGGTGCCGGGGGCCACTGCCCCTGCCGCCGCTGCCACCGACGGCTCAGATACCGACTTCACTTCCATGGCTCCTGCCTGCCTCAGCTTCCAGATCATCCCGACCCCACTTTCCTCACTCCGTGGCCGGCTTTAGGCACCCTCCATCCCCGAGGCGCATGCCAAACGCACCACAAGGATCGAGTCTCTCGAGCTCGACCTACCAGCAGGAGCGCCGTGCTGGGACATGGCGAGGAGGCGGCGTCGGCGGCTAGGAGCAGAGCACAAACAGCGCTGAATGGAGAGAAGTGTTTCTCTCCATTCAGCGCTGTTTGCGCTCTGCTCCTCATAGCGGCCGCTGCCTCACCATGTCCCAGCGCGGCACTCCTGCTGGTAGGTCGAGCTCAAGAGACTCGATCCTTGTGGTGCGTTTGGCGTGCGCCTCAGGGATGGAGGGCGCCTAAAGCCGAGCGGGGAGTGGAGCGTGCGCCAGCAGGAGCGCCACGCTGGGACATGGCGAGGAGGCGGCGGCGGCTACGAGGAGCAGAGCGCAAACAGTGCTGAATGGAGAGAAACACTTCTCTCCATTCAGCACTGTTTGCGCTCTGCTCCTCGTGGCCACGGCCGCCACCTCCTCGCCATGTCCCAGCGCGGCGCTCCTGCTGGTGCACGCTCCACTCCCCATTCGGCTTTAAGTGCCCTCCATCCCCGAGAGAGACTCGATCCTTGTGGTGCGTTTGGCGTGCGCCTCTGGGATGGAGGGCACCTAAAGCCGAGCGGGGAGTGGAACGTGCACCAGCAGGAGCACCGTGCTGGGACATGGCGAGGAAGCGGCATCGGTGGCTACGAGGAGCAGAGTGCAAACAGCCCTGAATGGACAGAAGCGAGTGGTGAGTGGAGCGCGGGAAGGGACTTGACCAGGGCAGCGGGCAGAGGGGAGGGTCGGCTCCGGAGGCGGAGGTGGCACTCAGAAGTGAGGGAGGGGGTGGTGGCGAGACGAGCCCCAAACAGTAGTCTGGAGAGCGCAGCAGGCGACGAGGGGAGAGGCCGGAACAAAGAGAGAAGCGGCTGGGCAGCAGGGAAAATGAGGGGATTTCTACGATACGATGCAAAAACAAAAAACAAAACCTTGCCTTGGCACAATGGGAAATAGTGAGAAATTGATGCACAAAAGTAATTTGGGGCTCATGTTGCTTTGCGATCCTTGACGCTTAGAGAGATAAGTATGCAAGAATTTTTGATTCATTTATTTAACTTTAACAAAACGAACTACAAACTTAAACTCCACTGAAATAATTAGAGAGTACCCGTATACGCCGGAAAATACAGTACATATATTCCTCTGCCAAGCAGAGGAAGCTCAGCGGCAGGCCAGAGAGGAAACTTACTGTTTTTAGTTGTTTTCTCTCTTGCTTTCTGCTGCTTGCTCTCTCGCTTGTCCTCTGTATTGCTTTCCTCCACGTGCTCTGAAACCGAAACTTCCTAACTTTAAATAGAAAAAAGCTGCGCATGCGCAAGGAGGAGGGAGGCAGGAACGGCACTTTCTATATAGCCAAATAAGGAAGTAGAACAGTTAGAAAAGGGAAAAAAAATGGCGGACAGCGGGGTTTGGCAACCCCCCGTGAAATGGTCGATCGACCCCAAATGGGGTCGCGACCCATAGGTTGAGAACCGCTGTTCTAAACTATTATAAAATGTGCTTTGATGTATAATTCTATTGCAATATTTGTGTTTTGAATTCACTATTTTTTTAATTATTAGGTATAAGATGCTCAGCCAATTTGATTACCGTGAATGTCGAGCAAATGGATGGACCAATGAGGTTCCTCATTGTGAAAGTAAGTAGGCTGTCAAAAATGTTATTAGGTATTAGAGTAGTACAAATTGACTTCAATCTCCACATATTGCTATGGTTATCAAGCAATACCATTTCTGGGCTTAGTTGTGAGTTTCAAAACAATTCCATTTGTCTTTTTTATTCCCACGGAAATAAACTCTTCACATAAATTTTTATAAATCACATATTTTTAATAATTTTACGATGTTTTTCTTCTAAATAAATTACATATTGTTTCAATTTTTCAAATAATGAAATAAATTTCTGTTTTGAGGTGGAAGAGTTTGCTTAATTATATGTCACATGAGGATTTAAAGTCTCCAGTATATGCCAAAATCAATAGCGGTAGTGCTTAATTTGGTGCCTCACCCTTAGTTTCTTGTTGTGTCTGTTGCATGGTTTCTTCTGTCACTTTCATTTGCCTTTTGTCCATGGCTTCTTTAAATGTTTCTAGGAAATCTCATGATGTTAAAACTGAGTTAGTCAAACCCTCTTGCAGGAGATGACCAGGCTGTGCCAAGGAGGGGTAAAATGCATCTAAGTCATGAGTCCCTGCACATCCATAAAAGATCTAAGTCCAGCCCACCATGAATATGTCTCTTATTTCCTGCACATTTCTCTTAACAGCCAGTTGGCCAGATTCTTGTAGAGAGTTTAAGCTTGCAATAAATCTTTATACTCATTTGAACTGCCTAATCTCATCTCTTGATTTCCCAGGCTTGACACCTTGACTTGACACCTCTACTATTTAAAATTAAAAATCTCTCCTTCCAATTTGTCTCAACAAAACGGTATCTTTTTATTTTTGAGCTTTTCGGTCAAAAATATTTTTCTCCCTTAGGTAGAATTCTGATTGGAATTTTTTTAAGTACAGTTATAGTACATCTGCGTTGTTGATCTTGAACCAGGTATTAAAATGTTTCTGGAGATAATCTCTCATCTTCCTCCTAACAAAGTGCATAAGAATATCCTCTGATGCAGTTCTTAACTTTGCATAATATGTACTGATCCTGTATACATTATCTGTCTCTGCCTGCATATCATCTCCATCCCATTACATATTTTTTTTAAAGATTGAACAACCTATTTTTGATCTTTACTGGTGTCCTTTGGAACCACTCTGAATCTCAGGTGTAATTCTTTTCCTTCTTTAATTCCAATAGTGCCAAGATTGTGTAAATCTTTTCTCCATCTTTCTGTGTACTATTTCTGCTTCATTTTCTATTTTCTTTTTATTTTAATTTTTCACCTCTCCAGTCAACTATCCTAGAGATTCTTCAAGGTATTTTTTATCTCTTCTTTCACTTTACCCTTCATATCTACAAATCTTTCTTCCAATCTCCCTTCAAATGTAGTCAAGTCTCTTTTAATAGATTCAGATACATTCTTCCCTAATTCTTCATTTATTTATTTATTTTTAATCTCTGGAGTGATCACCTTTTCCGGTGCTCTAACAATCCTCTCCTTCCTTTTTCAAGTTTGAAAGTTTGGCTGATTTTCTAGCAGTATTCTTTTGTTGCAATCCAGAAAGGAGCCAAGTACAAAAGTAAAAGGGAGGTCTCTTAGTTTCTGAGCCAGTATCTTTACCACTACAACAAACTGGTATTTCTCTCTCTCTCTCTCTCTCTCTCTCTCTCTCTCTCTCTCTCTCTCCCACCTTTTGCCTTTTCTGTATTACCTTAAGCCTCTGATCCCTTCTGACACTTTGATGTTCTAAAACAGACATGTCAAACTCGCGACGTCATGTGATGTCACGCAACATATCGGGACGGTTTTGCCATTGCCGGTAATGGGGTGGGTGCGGCTTCTGGATGATGCATCAAGTCCGCAGGCCGGCAGTTTGATACCCCTGTTCTAAAGTCACATGTTCTGTTTTAGGATTCCTTTAGCTCATTATTTTGAAAATTCCACCAATTGTCTCTTCACTAAAATGCCAAGCAATCTGCATTGTCATTAAGCTATGAATATATTTAATAATTTCAAAAGCGCTGTGTAAAAATAATATTTCAAACTTGACTATCCTTTTAAATCCATTTAAGACTTATTTAGAACAAAGTCCTGTCAAGCTTTTTGCTGTTGATTTTAAATTTTTAAAATTGTTATTTTATGTTTCTTTAATCCAGAATTAAGGCTGGATTAGTTAATTGTTCTGCTATTCCCAAAACCCCTTTTCCCTTTAGAATATTTTTTATCCCAATGTGCTTGAGAAAGTGAGGTTTTAAGCAAACCCAATGCCCTTAAAGGCTCTATTGTGGATCTGAACTCATTGACTTTCCTGAGTCTTCTGGCCACTCAGATTTACAAGTCAGCTGCAAGGACCTTAAAGTCCTGCAGTTTCCTCAATGGAAGAGCCTTCCAGAACATTCAAGGAGGCTCTGCAGGCTCAGGCTTGTCATCCAATCATCAGTCTTCACCACAATATCATATCCACTCTCCCAGAGACATCTTAATCTACCATTGTTATCATGTATGAAATGTATTATTAAATTATAAATTATACAGAATTATATTTTGTCCCTAAAACATAAATTTATATATGAGTTTTCATATAGAAAATTCAGAATCCTTTATCACTTGTGCAACAGCCATTTTCTGGGTTACTGCAATTAAAATAAGCATAACTGGTAATAATGATAGTAGTAGTAGTTGTAGTAGTAGTAATGATGATGATGATGTTGGAAGGGACCTTGGAGGTCATCTAGTCCAACCCCCTGCTCAGGCAGGAAACCGTATACCATTTCAGACAAATGGCTGTCCAGTCTCTTCTTAAAAAATTCCAGTGTTGGAGGATTCACAGCTCCTGGAGGCAGGTTGTTCCACTGATTAGTTGTTCTAACTGTCAGGAAGTTTCTCCTTAGTTTTAGGTTGCTTCTCTCTTTGGTTAGTTTCCACCCATTGCTTGTTGTCCTGCCTTCAGGTGCTTTAGATACAACCTCTTATCTTTTATTCATTACTTCAGATTTAATACATGTTACCCATCTTCTTTTAGATGATACATATTTTAATTTCCTAGATTTTAATATTTTAGATTTATACTTGCACCGATAATAGACAGCTATTTAAAAATTAAAATGTAGTACCTTACATTTTTGTCATTTTATTTTTGTTTTGCTAATATTTATCTCAGCTGTTTCATTTTTACTTTTGTACTGTAATTTTTTTTCCCAAATTTTACTGGTCATTGACCAAACAGTATTACCATTTGGTTAGTTTCATTTCATTTACCGTGATTTGGACATTAAAGTTAGTTAATTTTTTTTAGTGAAATCTCATTTTTGGCTCATTTTCAATTTGCAGTTCACTTCTATTCCAAGATCTTCTACAAGTACCATTACCAGCTAGGTAATTTAAAGCCCTGCACAGTATGGGCCAGGTCTACTTGAGAAACTGTCTCACCCCAATGGGACTGGCCCACCCACCCCCGTGCTGGCAGAGAGGGGATATTGATGATTCCTTCAGCTAAAGAATTTTGGTTAGTGGGATCCAGGAGCCTTCTCTGCCATGGATCCTGCCCTTTGGAACATCTTACCCCCTGAAGTGAAATTGTAATAGTCTTAAGACTTGCCTCTGACAGATGGCTTGGGGACCCAATGGAGAGGCTTCATACTGGAGGTGGTTGATTAATTAAGATTCAATGCCACCTCCCTTTCCCCCCATTGTATCTGTCTCCCTTCTTTGCCATCTTGTCTCCTTGATTTTATCTATTAATGATTTTATTTGCTATGTTTTATAGCGGATGATTCTAATGCTTTTCAATGTTTTTTATGTTGTAAGCTGCCCAGAGAAATTTAATATGATATGGGTGTCAAATAAATAAATAAATAATTCTTCATCCTGTACTTGTCATTTGATTTTTTATATCCTAAGTAAAGAAATTTGTCTTTGTTAAAGTTCATTATGTTACTTTAATACCATTCCACCTAAATAATTTTAATGTTATTTTTGTATTAATTATTCTATCTAATTGTTCTTTCATGTTTAGATTTGTTAATAATTGCCTCAACTCATTCAAATCATTAAACTATTGAATAGTAAAAGACAGTTATGGCATCTCACCAATGGACACCTTGATTTCCATTTTTTTAGACATCTATTTATTCATTTATCATGTCATTCAGCTCAGATTTAATTAGCTTACATAGGCATCCACTCTGAATATATACAGAATGTATTTTCAAAAATTGAAACCACAAAAAGTTTGATAATTTTTGCTTTAACTAATCTTTTTGTGTATTTTTCTTTAAAGTGCCTCAATATCAGCTTGGAGTATATGAGTGAGATAAATTATTTCTTTGCTGATGTTTTTATTGTTAAATATATTCTTCATTAATATTGTTACCATTGCTGCAATAATAATGCACTTCATGGTAATCTATCTCCCATTATTTGCTCAATTACCCAATGTGATGGAGTAAAAGTTTTCTATGCTAATTGAGAATATATCCACTTATCTATTTTTAATAGATTTGTATTTTCTAATGATCACAGTAAGATCGTGGATAAAATGACTTTGTTTTTGTTTCATTAAAAAACCATTAAAATTGCCATTTTGCTGGAAACTACACTATGTAGACCACCAGATTTTAAAATACGTTGGGTTCATGATATGTTTCATTTCCTTGCTTGCTTCCTTTTTCCTAAAGCTGAAACATTTTTAATTAGCTTTATATCACAATGTTACTTTATTTGCAGTCAACAAATGTCGTCCAATAGTACTACCAAGCAATGTGAGAATTATTCAGGGTGCAAAATCTCAAATGAATGAAGATTTTTTATCTGGTGATCTAGTGATATTTGGATGTATTGGAAAGTTGAAAATCAAAGGATCTAATAAAATTACCTGTACAGCTGATGGCACTTGGAGTGCACCTGTTCCAGAATGTATAGGTGAGTGAGGGGAAGTTAAGTGAACTCTGAGTATGATTATGGTTGGATCACTCTTTGATTGGCTTGGAGTTCCATGGGCTGCTCCCCACTACAGAAAGACTGGACCTATTTAGTCTGCCCAGACAACTCATGAACCCCAATTGGTTCTAAATGGAACTTTCTAGGTGAAATGGGAGAAGAGAGATCTAGAGTACCATTGGAGGACAACAAGAAGTGAAGCCAAGTGAGTATGACTTAAAGCTATTACTAAGACCTATCTCATGGTGCTAAGAGCAGTGAAGTCTCCATAGTATTCTGTCCTTATTGCACCTGCAGATAGTTATTTGGTGGTTTTATTCAAGGCAACCCAGGTTTTCGTAAGAAGGATTGTGAGAAATATGCTAGGCATACATTGGATAAATCATTGGATTCACTCTAAACCTTGAGGCAACCCCCATGGAACTAATTGAGACTTAGTCTGGTTTCATTGTCTGGAAAGAATTTAAACCTATTAATCCTGACCATTAGCTTGGCTGTCAGTCTAATACATCCATGTCCATGATAAGCTAAGACTTCATGTCCAGCGAGATGTGGTTGGGTTCTGGCAGTAGTAAATTTGTACTTGGGAGAGAAGATGGTCCTACCTTCACTTAAGAAGCCAATAGTGTACTCTTTCCTTATGAAGTCACTACTAGCTGGATAAATATTGTCCAGTCCCCAACCTGCCCTTCCTGGGGAAGGTTTTTAAGAAGATGCAATTGTTTCAGAGAACTGTGGAGGAAGTGAATTATTGTGACTCTTTTCAGTCAGATTTCAGATCTGAGTACAGAATTAAAATGGAATTCATCATACCTGTGATGAGAGTAGGATGCATCCATTCTTTCTCTCCTTGATATTTTAGTGGCTTTCAGTCAGAGTAACCTTCTGGGCTGGCTTCAAGGATTGAGTTGGGTAGCATTGTGTTACACTAGTTCTTCTTCTTCCTCTGAGATAGTTCTAGTCAGCATTCACGGAAGGAGAAGTCTAGCCCACAGATTGTGCTTTGCAGGTTGCCTCAGTGCTCAGCACCCTCCCCACGTCTGTTTTATATTAACATGAAGACACTGGGTGAGTGTTCTGCCCCAGCTATGTGAGTCCTTGTTAAGCTCACAAGGAGAAACCCCTCTTCCAACAAGCAGGCTGGAACCTTAGGAAAAAACCAATCCCCTTTTATTATTCACACACCTGAGTCAATGTCAAGGCAAACAAAACATAGTTCACAAAATCTTGATTCCTCAACACAAACGGTTGCCTTCGGCAACCAGCACCTCCCACACCTTCCCTTTTATTATGCAGCCAAGGTGTGGCTTCCTAATGCCTTCTCCTTTGCCTTTGGAACCACCCCATTGCATTCCTCTGTCCGACTCTCTTTTCTTGCCGGTGTTTACGTGTATCCTGGATATCTTCCAGCTGTGAGTCATCACTGTCCAACTCAGACTCCCAGCACAGCTGTGTCTCAGCCTGAGCATGATTAGAGGGGCCAGGCTCCTCATCAGACTGTAAATCTTGGAGTTCCTCAGAGCCTTCCTCTGACTCTGATGTCACTCAAGGCCCCTCCTCCTCCTCTTCTAATTTACCAGACTCAGCTGCGGGGTCACTGGCTGGCGAGGAATCACAACAGTGAGGCTTAAGGCATTTCATTTGATTGTGAAAATAACTGAATAGTAGATGGCATTAAAATTTATTATTATTCATCTTTTTAGTAATACAGCATTCTTTGTTATTCAAGCAAATAAAGAGGATATTAATGAAAAAACATTTTGTTTATATTTTATGATAGAAATAACTTGCCAGGCAGACCATATTGAAAATGGAAACATACTATCTCCAAAATTCATTTATAAGGAAGGTGAGAGAATCCGATTCACCTGTATTGAAGGATACACATTTGCTGACAGACCAGATGCATTGTGTACCGAGAATGGATGGGGTTCAAAGCTTCAATGTAAAGGTCTGTATAAGTTTCTAATGGTCATGATTTTTTGAAATCTTATACACATTTTATTCTTTTTACTATGCATGCCTAGAATTGCAGCTCCTATCAATCTGACCTGGTTAAAAAACTTTGTGGTAAAATAGGGAAAGAAGTCTCTGTATGTTTAGATTTCATTTCGTTTTTATCAGACATAGAGAAAACAGGAATAACAAGCATTCCCTTTGAAGACTCATCCTTCCATTTTTTAACATATAAAAGAAAATATTGTCTCAATTTTCCTCTAGATTTATGGATCATTTACATACATACTGAACTGATTTCCTAAACTAATATTAGTTTTAAAGGGATAATTTAAAAAGAACCATTAAGCCTATAATTTCAACATCTTAATAATCTTTGATTAATTAAAACTCAGGATTCATGGGTTCCTGGAACTTATGGCATATTATACTTCCTTTAAGCTTAATTGATCAGACTTAGAAATATCTTTCTTCAAAGAAAGGCATTATTCTTCTGAAGATCGTTTGAGGCAAGCATTTATTTTTGTCTGCAATCTATAATAAGTAATATGGCTCAGCAATAAATGAGGGGCCAAATAGGAATGAATGTTTCATGTAGCATTTCTTGGACAGAGGAAAACAATTCACCAAGACAGTTTATATCTAACTCACAAAGTGACAAAAAGTAATTGTTTCTTTTAGGGAAAATTTGGGTGATAGTCCCACAAGGAGGCAACTCAATCTATTTTAGAGATATGTGTAAAGGGCAGAATTGATGCACAAATCAGTTGGCCATTTTTGTTTTAGACTGAAATCACGTTATGACTTCAGCATTGATGGTTCTTACATTTGGGCACTAATTTCACTCTTGTTTTTCCTGAGTATTTTAATATCACGTAAAGCTAAGCAACAAAGTAAGAATGGAGCAGCAGCTTTAGGGCAGAGTTCGCCAACATGATCGGTATCAACCCCCGGGATCAATGGCCGATAAATGGTTGGGTAAATAACTGGTCAATAAATGATGGAAAGTCATTGGGATCAACTAATCTCGTAGGGTCTCTGTAGTTTTCCATATCGATCCCTAGTCCTGAAGGTAAGGTAGCTAGCAAAGAAAGTGCATGTGCCAGGGATTGGCTAGTCAGGGACCAGTGAGAGCAACCTTGAGTTGTCTCTATCAGCTGTGGTTTTTTTTACTAAACTTGATTATCATTATTGGTCATCACACAGTCAGCCAGATATTCAGACTGGATTTGGCATTTTTGTCCATCTATTGAGAACTTCCCAAGGACCTGGGATAGGTAAATGTTCTTATTTCATGGTGTAAAAGATTGACCACATATTTTTATTCATATTCCTCCATAGAAATTCAGTGTTTCCCTCCAGAAATGACAAATGGCCGCTTTCGACCTAGACGAGCTCAATATACATACAATGATGAAATTGAGACAATATGTGATGAAGGGTTTGTCCATGGAGGACCAAGAAAAGTTTCCATATGCACTGCAAGTGGTTGGAATCCTCCTGCTTTCTGTAAACGTAAGTAGCTTTTTCTATGAAGTTTCTTTCTAGAACAGAAATTGCTTCATTGTTTATGAATGATATTCCTATAGTTATGCTAGATGAGGTAATATAATTATGGTGAGAGGAGACTAGTTTATTAGGATTTCTATAATTTTTCTCATTAAAAAAATACCAAAGGTTTTTTTAAAAAACAAAATAAAACACTCACATCTCATCACAGTGAGTGGAGGAAATCCAGTGCCAGAAAAGTGGCAAAACATTTATTGTACACTTTCTGAACTGAAAGCTCCACTCAGTCGCACATTCACACCTATACTTGTCCAGCTCAGGATCTGAACTTGAGATACAGGCAGATGCATTTAGGCATGTGCTAGGGAAACTGTGAGATGTTCCTGAAATATGGCATATGTGGATTTGCCCAAAGTCCTCTCTGTTGATTAGTATTTTGTGGTACTGGTAGATCCACCTGTTCCTTCCTCAGCTACACGTCAGAAATTTCTTGGTAGTGGAAAGTTTGATTCTCAACAGATGTCAGATAACTGAAATATTCTATTCAACATGCAAAGTTTGGAAGTAAGTTAATGGCAGAAACGTAACACTGAGAGCAATGTGGGAAGAGAAGGTAAGGTGAAAGTATCCAAGCACCATGAGGGCATTGCATTTTTTCCCCCTTCCTACTCAGTAATTTTTTAAAAAAATCTTTCAGTCACCTTGCTCAAACAGGAAGTATATGTTAATAGCATTTTCTAATCCTTTAAAACAAAAAAAATGTTTGTTTTGTGTTCAATTGATGCACTTTGGTTTGAATGTTCACAAAGAGAAATGCTCAGATCTTTGGTCAATTTAATCCCAGCTTGCAAGGGAATGTTGGTGTTATGTATTAAGCAATTCAAAAGGTCTGTTATAAAAAACGGTTAACTGATTGTTCTATTTGAATTATAGACTGTCTGTATAACTTTAAGCCTTTGTTTTAGGTAGGAATGAGTACTTTAAATTGATTGGCTGCTGCCTAGTGGCAGTCCATATAAATATAAGTCAAGCATCTGCTAGAGCTTGCTTCTGTGAGAACCTAATAAAGAACTGTTATTTCAACTCCGTGTCTTCAATGCCTTGCTGTTCCCACTACATAACAGTGGTGATGAAGGTGGGATTATGCTGCTAGGAAGAAAGAGCTAAGTCACTTAGGGGTAAGACCAGGCAACATTCCCCCCTTCTACTTGCCAGTACACAAACGCTGGAGGTATCACCTTCCTAAGGGACCCATCCCTAGGAAACTCACAGAAGCCCTAGCAGCATAAGGCATTGGAGACGCAATAACAGCCAAGCCATGGCCAAAGTTGGCAAGCTTTCCAAGTTTGATGTGATGCATCCCGAACAATGGAGTTTGTATGTCTCAAGAGTAGAAAACTACTTCAGAGCGAACCTGGTCAGAGAAGATAATTTAAAAGCTGCAACCTTGTTGTGCGTGTGTGGCCAAGCCACCTTTGATATAGCCGAGAACCTCATCGCTCCTGCTACATTGGAGTCAGTCACCTTCGCTGACTTGAAATGAAGACTCAAGGAGCACTTCGAACCAAGATTGTCCGTTATCGCATATAGACACGCGTTCGAGCAGAGAGAACAGCAGCCAGGTGAAACTGTTGCTGAATTCATGGCCGCCCTATGCCAAGCGTCCCGGGTCTGCGAATTTCCCAACGTAGAAGACAAGCTCCGGGACTGACTGGTATGTGGCCTTAGAAGTAGAGACCTGCAGCAGAGACTATTTGCTAAAGAGACCCTGACATTCCAGGATGCATAGAAAGAAGTGATGGCAAAAGAGGCTGCAGGTGGAGCCATCAAGGCTTTACATCCCTCAAAGAATCTTCCCAGCCAGATGGCTGTGCATCATGAACAGTCAGAGAGAACAGAAGACCCAGACGTAGACATTGAGATCGACTGGGTGCAGAGGACCTTGACAAGGCAGTTCCCTTCCTTAGCTGTCTTGGCTGCGGTGGATGCTCAGTGCTCAGAATGGCGGTTTCTCACAGCTGTGTGCCAAGCATGTCGCAGACAAGGTCACATCGCTACCATCTGTAAAGGTCACCAGAGGGAATCTCCACATGAAGACTTCCCCAGGAGAGGTAATAGGGCCCCAGGCAGAATAGAGTAGGATTTTACTCTGGAAGAAGGAGCATCCTCAGAACTGGAGCCCATCGCCCCCTAAAATAAAAGCTTAGACTAAAAGTCAAGCTGCAAGGAGTTCCATGCTCCATGGAACTGGACATTGGATCAGCTGTGTCTATAATTTCCTATAAGACTTTTAATTTAATCTGCAGACATGGCGGGAAACGAGTCAGATTCAAGCCATCAGATTTAGTTTTGACAGATTTTCAAAACTCCTGCATAGTGGTTAAAGGAGAAGGTATGATAAAAGTGTCATTCAGAGAATTTTAGGGTCCCCTCAGTGTCATGGTCATTGAAGGCCAGAGAACAAACCTGATCAGCCTAGACTGGTTTGATGCCCTGGGCAGAGCCTCTACATAGGCTCCTAGATAAAAGGGCACCATGGCAGTGAACTAGCACCCACGAAAATAGTTCCAAAGCAGCCAAGTCAATGCTGTCTTCAGACTCTGTGTTAACACACTTTAATGAAAAACTACCTATTAGTATTGCATGTGAGGGTCATCGTACAGGATAGGAGCAGTTCTGAGCCATGTAATGGCAAATGGAGAGTAAGCACTCATAGTTTATTTAAAACTCAAGGACACTTTCCCCTGTGGAAAGAAATTACACGCAAATTATAGGGAGGCTTTAGCCATAGTTTCATGAATAAAGAAATTCCACGATTTTCTTTATGGTCACCTATTTACAGTCTTTACAGACCACAAGCCCCTTCTAGGTCTGTTTACTGCAGATAAGCAAACCCCTCAGATCCTGTCTCCAAGGATGCTGAGGTGGTCAATCTTTATGGCAGCCTACAATTACAGGCTAGTCCATAAGGAATGGCAAGGAAATGAATCAATGCTGATGCACTCAGCAGATTGCCCCTGCCTAATTTAGAACCAGACCCCGCACCTGCTGCATGCATCCTGTCAATTCAGGATTTGCCTGAATCTGCCCTTCACGCCGGGCATGTGGCTGCTGAGAAAGCCTCCGACAAAACTCTCAGCCAAGTTTTGAACTGGATGCTGAGGGAGTGGCCAGGAACCAGTCCTGGAACAGAATTATAGAGTTTTATTAGAAGACAAGGTGAGCTATCTGCATACAAAGGATGTATTCTATGGGGGAGTAGAATTGTAGTCCCACACAAACTAAGGGAAAGAGTCTTAGAATCTCTGCATGAGGGACATCCTGGAATAGTCAGGATGAAGGCACTCGCAAGAAGCGACCTGTGGTGGCCAGTGTTGGATACGGACATTGAGGCTCAAGTTAAAGGATACCAGGTTTCCCAGACCTGAAATGCCTCAAGCCCCAATACATCACTGGGAAACTATGCAAACTCCCTGGTCTAGGATTCACATAGACTACGCAGGACCATTCCAAGGACAGGTGTTCCTCATTGTAGTGGACAGTCACTCAAAGTGGCTTGAGGTAGCACCTGTCCCTTCTATGACTACTGCCAGGACCATCCAGGAACTGTTCAGAATCTTTGCCATACATGGCTTACCCGATGGAATCGTATTGGATAATGGGGCACAATTTACTGCTGCAGAATTTCAGTCATTTCTAAGGTTTAATATGATTAGACATGCCACCTCAGCCCCGTTTCACCTGGCCTTTAATGGTCAAGTGGAAAGGATGGTCAGGATGACCAAAGAAGCACTTAAAAGAATAACCAGGGGAAATTGGCATCATAGGTTGGCAGACTTTTTGCTCTGCCAATGCACTTCAATGGATCGTAGCCCAGTGGAGCTGAGATGGGGATGTTGGCTGACCACGAAGTTGGACCGTCTCCATCCAGACCGAGTTGCAACAGAGACAGTACAGCCCAAGCCCCTGAAGAACTTGCGGGTTTGCAACCGAGTTTGGGCAAGAAACTATGGTCAAGGGGCACTGTGGGTGGTAGCTGTGGTTTGTAAGGTGTCAGGACTACTCTCTTACGAAGTGGTCCTGGAAGACGGGTGCATCTTGCGCCGCCACATCAATCAGCTGCGTAGGCGGCAGGATAGCCAAACCCTCGCCGCTGACCATGAGGAGAGCCAAGGGCTGCCTGACAGCTGTGGTGCTTCTGAGCCGCCAGAGTCCTGCGCAACTCAAGGAGATAGGCTGGATGACTCAGTCATGGTTGAGTCGCTACCAACCAAAGGAACTGTGCCCGCAGATCAGACTATGCTGGAGGACTTGTTTCCCAGCCTTTCTGGGACTGCTCCTCTCACTGACATGTGTACTGGCCTACCCGAACAGACCAGCCGAACGGAGACTGGTCTACCCGGCCAGAAAAGACAAACAGAGACTGGTCTACCCAGCCAACTGAGGTGGATCAGAGTTGGTGGATCAGGTTTTCCGGAAATTGTCCTTTACTCAGTAATAATAGTTTATTGGCTTGTCAAAATGTAAAATACAGAGAGAAATTCAAAAATGTAATAGAAAACTAGAAGAAGGGGGAGGGAAAAGAAAAAAAGATGGTGTAAAGAGGGAAAAGAAAAGAAAAGGGTATTAACTTCCGACTATCTTTAGCACAGTAGAAGATAACAACATTACAATCACAACTTTTTGCTACATTAAGGTTTTCACAGTATTAGAAAACAAACAAACAAACAAAAAACTAGAGGACATATATTTACAAACTTATTGTATAAACATGAAGTTACCTTAATGCTTTCTTTCAATATATATATTTCAAAACTTATAAAATTCCATCCTAACTAATTTAATCATTAAATTTAAGTCATTCCCTCCAGCTTGTCTTCATAGAATGATTTTTTTTCTTCCCAAGGGTATTTATCTTTTCTTCAAGGAGTTCTCAGTCTTATTTATATCCATAAGCAAAAATTCCAAGATTGTACTATTAAACATTGTAGATTAACCTGGGCCAAATCCTTGTAGAATAAAATTTCCATCTCTGAGATGTCTATCATATCTTTTATTCTCAAAGAATTCTCAACCTTGTTGATATCTATGAGGAAAAAAACTTGACCTCTTAAAAATTCTTTTTTCAGTTGCATTGGGAGAATTATACTCAAACCATCATCATAATAAAAGCTGATGTCAGATTTATATTTCAAAGGTACAATTAGATTATTTGTGTTATCCCCCATTTGTAGAGTTGATACAGTAGGTCAATAGTTTTCTACAAGGGTTGATAATCTCTTGTAATCTCCTCTGTATCATTAGCATCATTAAACCCTAGTTTATCTATGATATAACTGATTTTCTGTATAGACCAGGTATAAGCAACCTTGTCTCTTTTATGACTCATGGACTTCAACTTCCAGAATTCCTGAGCCAGCATGGCTCGCTCAGGAATTCTGGGAGTTGAAGCCCAGGAATCATAAAAGAACCAAGGTTGCCTACCCCTGGTATAGACTTTTGGAGGATTTCTTTGATGACAAACTCCAGCTTAGAGTTAAACATCTTCATGTTTAACTTTAGCTCCCTCTAGTGCTGAAAAGATGTTATTTATATCTTTTTTTTTTCCTATTCCTTTTTCTGGCCCATCAGAGTTCATGAAAGTTAAGGAGTTTCAACCACCACCACAACAGAATATACAGCTACAGATTATTTTAAATGTACTAAATTAAAAGCAACCAGTTTCATCCTTATATTTCAAAAGAAAAAATACTCCACTCTTCCTTCTTTTGGCTGCCTCCAGCAACCTTCTTCCTTATCGTATAAAAGAAAATATTGTCTCAATTTTCCTCTAGATTTATGGATTATTTACATGCATACTGAATTGATTTCCTAAACTAGCTATCATTAATTTTAAAGGGATAATTTAAAAAGAACCATTATGCCTATAATTTCAACATTTTAATAATCTTTGATTAATTAAAACCCAGGATTCATGGGTTCCTGGAACTTGCGGAGCTGAATGGCATATTATACTTCCTTTAATCTTAATTGATCAGACTTAGAAATATCTTTCTTCAAAGAAGGGCGTTATTCTTCTGAAGATCATTTGAGGCAAGCATTTATTTCTGTCTGCAATCTATAATAAGTAATATGGCTCAGCAATAAATGAGGGGCCAAATAGGAATGAATGATTCATGTAGCATTTCTTGGACAGAGGAACACAATTCATCAAGACAGTTTGTATCTAACTCACAAAGTGTAGAAGAAGTAATTGTTTCTTTTAAGGAAAATATGAGTGATAGTCCTACAAGGAGGCAACTCAATCTATTTTAGAGATATGTGTAAAGGGCAGAATTGATCCACAAATCAGTTGGCCATCTTTGTTTTAGACTGAAATCACCTTATGACTTCAGTATTGGTGGTTCTTACATTTGGGCACTAATTTCACTCTTGTTTTTCCTGAGTATTTTAATATCACGTAAAGCTAAGCAACAAAGTAAGAATGGAGCAGCAGCTTTAGGGCAGAGTTCGCCAACATGATCGGTATCAAACCCCGGGATCAATGGCCGATAAATGGTTGGGTAAATAACTGGTCGATAAATGATGGAAAGTCATTGGGATCAACTAATCTCTTAGGGTCTCTGTAGTTTTCCATATCGATCCCTAGTCCTGAAGGTAAGGTAGCTAGCAAAGAAAGTGCATTAGCCAGGGATTGGCTGGTCAGGGACCAGTGAGAGCAACCTTGCAGTTGTCTCTATCAGCTGTGTTTTTTTTTTTTTTTTTTTTTTACTAAACTTGATTATCATTATTGGTCATCACACAGTCAGCCAGATATTCAGACTGGATTTGGCATTGTTGCCCACCTATTGAGAACTTCCCAAGGACGTGGGATAGGTTAATGTTCTTGTTTCATGGTATAAAAGATTGACCACATATTTTTATTCATATTCCTCCATAGAAATTCAGTGTGTCCCTCCACAAATGACAAATGGCTACTTTCGACCTAGACGAGCTCAATATACATACAATGATGAAATTGAGACAATATGTAATGAAGGGTTTGGTTTTGAAGGGCCAGGAAAAGTTTCCATATGCACTACAAGTGGTTGGAATCCTCCTGCTGTCTGTAAACGTAAGTAGCTTTTTCTATGAAGTTTCTTTCTGGAACAGAAATTGCTTCATTGTTTGTGAATGATATTCCTATAGTTATGCTAGATGAGGTGATATAATTATGGTGGGAGGAGACTAGTTTATTATAACTATCAGTAGTAATAGTGGGAGTGCCATAATTTTTTTCATCGAAAAACAATCCTAAAGCATTTTATAATAATCATAAAATTGTTCCACAATAAAATAAGGAAAAACAAGATAAAAATGGAATAAAAACAGATTAAATAATAATAAACTCATTCCACAGCATGATGCTATTATATAGAAGACTTGCTCCATATTATCAGTAACCAGTAATCCAGAAATCATAGCACAGGGGAGAGAATCTCTCTGAAGATTGCCAGGACCCAAGAAGGTTTCTTTAAAGCAGGGCTTTTCAACCGGTGGTACGCATACTACTTGTGGTACTTTGCCACGTGGCAGGTGGTACGCGACTGCTAGCAAAGTGCAGCAGGGGAGGGGCAGGAGCCTAAGAAAGCCAAGCCTGAGGGAGAGGCAACTGCAGCTGCAGGACTGTCTGGGCTTAGCAGAAGCCCCAGGAGCTGGCAGGGCTCCAACTGATTGGCTCTAGCTGATTGGCACTTCCGGAACTGCGCGGAGCTGCAGGTGAACTGAAGAAAAGGGGAGGAGGAAAGAGACTATAAAAGGAGGTGATTTAGGTGGGGGGAGGGGAAAAAAGACACAGGAAAGATTTAATCCCTTTAAGCAAATGTAATTAGTTTTACCGCCTTTAATTCAGCCTGTCTATGGATTTTAGAAAGTTTTCTTTGAAGGTAAATAGACTTAATTTAAAACTAAAGCTTTTCGCAATTGCTGGAGCTTTTTAGTCGAGGATTGCAGCATTGTGGCACGTGACACGCCTGAGGCAGCTTAAAGAGAAAAAAAAATGGAGTTTGTGTTTCTTGCTTTGCACTTTATTCCTGTGTCTTTAAGGGTACAGGGAAGGGATTGGGAGTTGTGTTCTTATTATCTTATTATCTGGAAGAGCTCAGAAGGGAGAGAGGAAGAAGGGCCGACCAGCTAGCTCAGGAGTCTACGAACTTAGCAACTTTTAGACCTGTGGACTTCAACTCCCAGAATTCCTCAACAAGCCATGAGGGCTGATGAATTCTGGGAGTTGAAGTCCACAGTCTTAAAAGTGCCAAGTTTGAAGACCCCTGAGCTAGCTGGTAGTGATGCATATTAATAAACATGGATAAATTCATCATACATTTGTCAGTGCAAAGGGAAAGTGATTCAGCAAAGGAATAGCCACCAAAGAAATTAAAACTGGTACTTTTTAAATTTTTTCCTACAGTTTGTAATATTTTATTAGATTATAGAATAAAATACAAAAATCCAAAAGCAAATAGTAGGACACAATGGGGAGGAAAATGGGGGGTAAATTGAGGGGGAGAAGAGAAAAAGCAGACTTCTTCTGTTGCAATAGAAGGAAGCATTAACGTTGAACCTCAACTTTTTACTTTTCCATAATATTGTAAACTAGCCATTTCTATAACAACAAATGAATCTAATCAGTAAAACCCAAAATCCCCCCCCCCTTTTTTTTTTTAGTCATCGTTTTTGACACCTTGTTAAGCACTGGTGGTACTCAAATATTGTCATGTCCTAAAAGTGGTAGAATCTGTGAAAAGGTTGAAAAGCCCTGTTTTAAAGACTCACTCTGATTCTTTAAAGAAACCACAGTGAGAGAAGGAAATCCAGTACTACAAAAGTGAGTTTACAAATTGTATTGTTCGCTTTCTGATTTAAAAGGTTAACACATAGCACATTCTCATAGGCATTGGCGAGTTCAGCATCTGAACCTGAGATTCAGGCAGAAGTATACAGACATGTGCTAGGGAAACAATGGGCTATACTTGCATCATGCACACTGGCTGCATGGATTTGCTCAAAGTTGTCTAGTCAAAAGTGGTTGATCGTCCTCTGCCTTCCTCAGCTACACAAGTCAGAAACTTTTTAGAAATGGAAGAGATTGTTTCTTAACAGAATGTCGAGATAACTGAAATCCATATTCAACTTGCCAACTTTGCAAGCAAGTTAGTGGCAGAAACGTAACATTGAGAGCAATGTTGAAGAAGAGGGTCAGGTTAGAGTGTCCAAGGGACAAGAGGGCATTGCAGGCCACATAAGGTCTTCCATTCTTTTTCTCCCTAATAAGTAATTTTTAAGAAATAGTTCAGTCACCTTGCCCAAACAGGAAGTATTTGCTGATACTGTAGCTATTATAATCCTTTAAAACCCAAATGATGTTTGTTTTCTGCTCAGTTCACACACTTCAGCTAGAATGTTCACAAAGCTTCAACTATTTGGGCAGAAAGGATATGATAAAATATTAGTTCCACTGCTTCACTGCCATTTTGGTTGTTTTTGACCATAAGTTAAAAACATGTGACAGGAAGAAGAGTAAACCAGTCTACCAGTGGTCTGTAAGATTTTCATCTAAAAATAACCAATTTGACAAATCTCTGGAACAAAGAAGAGGTGCTTGTTGAAGCTCCTGGCCATTTTCCAGCCTAGCAATCTACCAACTGTGTTATTTTGGGACGAAGATGTTTTAGTCTCTTAGAACAATCCTTGATAATTTTACAGCTAGAAGGAAAAATGTTCAGATTGCTTGTGAATTTCATCCTAGTTTACAAGGAAATGCTGGCAGGAAGTGGCAAGTGTACCTTGAAGTATGCTGTGGAGTGTGTGGAATGACAATGGAATAGACAAAATGGGATATTTACATGGGATAAAAAGACAAGCAGAGAGAGGAGGACAAAAACAGCTGCCACATTACCTGCTCACATCAAATTCTTGCACTTTTCAGTGGTATGCTCATCCTTGCCATATAGCAGTCGGTGAATCAGATATTCCAAGTAATTGCCCCTTTGGCATAAGCAGCCCCAGGCCAGGGTTGATGTGTGCCTGAGAAAGCAAAGTGTAGTCTGGATTTACAGGGAATGTTTCCTTCTAAAGTGGGTCAGGCAGCCCGAAGAGAAAAAGCTGTGGAGGAAAGCTATCATTGCCCAGGGAAAAGTGAAAGTTCCTTATCTATTGAAGCACTGCAGAGAGACTGCATGGCACTAGGTATGCTAGCAGAAATCAGAAAATACCATTTTGACACAGTGCAAGAAAAGAAAAACAAACAGGTAGAAGTGGTTCCCGCACTGGCCCAGCGCTAGTTTGAGGAGAATGATGTGTATTCACATCCTCAAGAAACTGTTAGGAGGGTATCTTTGCTTTGGGAGAACCACAGAATATATATATATAACTCTATAAGTACATATGCAATAAATTTGCTAGCACATAAGTGCAACAACTACAAAAATAGAAACAAAATCATAAGTTGGAGAGCTTAACTTTGATTAAATGGGGAATGGAAGGAATATTAGTGAAATGACAGGGCACAAGGATTGAACTCCAAAAAAGATTGAACACAAGTGGCTGCAGGAATGAAATGAATAGTTTTCAAGAGGGTGAAGGAAAAAAGACTTAGGGAAAAGGATGCACAAATTTTCCTGATGAGATAAAGTATTGAGTTTCTTAACTAGAAAGAGACATTTCTTAAAATATTAGTCGAGGAAAGCATTTTTTTTTTTAGGAGCAAGGCAGTCTAAGTTAATCCTCAGCTTATTACCAATGCAAACCTTGTAGAAAATATCCTTGGTGATGAATATTATCAGAATCCATCATTATTTAGTATTGTAGGATTTGGCAGGCCAATCAAAAGATGTCTGAGCAGGCTGGCTTTAATACAATATAAGTTAAACAGGGATGAAGCATTGAAGTATATAAAAAATCAAATCCCTCTGGAAGAGATGGAAAGCACAGTTATGCAGGTTTCATCAAAAGCAATATCTGTACGTATCAGCTGAACTTCATTCCTAGGAAGGGTTTTGCTGTTTATATACCAGTGGTTCTCAATCTGTGGGTCAAGACCCCATTTGGGGTCGAATGACCATTTCACGGAGGTCGCCAAACAACTCAGTCCGTCATTTTTCCCCCCTTTTCCTTAGCTGTGCTACTCCCTTTTATTCTATTGGCTTTTGAAAGCCAATAGAATAGACTTTCTTGAATAGAGTCTAATTCTATTGGCTTTCAAAAGCCAATAGGAATTGTCCAGGCTGTCTCTGCCCTGCTGAGCCCGCCAAAAGTCCCATTCTGCAAACGGTGCTGCACCAGTTGAGTAGTCCTCGACTTAGGACCGGTTGAGTAGTCCTCAACTTACGACCGGTTGGGGGTCGTGGCATTAAAAAGGTTGAGAACCACTGTTATATACTATCCTACTGCAATAATTCATACCTCTAAATTATGCACATGTGATTGTTAAAAGTTCTTGCTTGTGAGCCTGAACCTTGTTCCTCCCTGACCCCATTCACCACTATTAATCACTAGTAGATGGCCTTGGCAAATGATTTCAAAAACAAAGAGGTGCACTTTTATACTAGAATGCATGAGATTGCAAGAAAACAGTTAACCATGAGTAAAAGCTGGTGGGAGGAGAAGCTTAATTTTAGAAATCTAAGCCTTTACTTAGCAACGCTATGACCAAGAATACTGAGTAGAATCAATGTATGGAGGAAAGCACAGAAAGTCCTGCACATTGTGAATGAGCTTTTTTGAAAATGTTGCAGATCTCCAACAATGTTACCTTACCTGTATTTCTAAGAAGGCTTGTATTATTCAAAAAGCTTTACAAACCTACTTCTTTCTTACCTCTCACTTAATATTCTTCACTAAATCTATACTCTAGAGCCAGTTAGGTGTAATCTTGAAGGTGCCGGCCTTGAAACCAGGAGTCTGTACATTGTAGTCCCATCTTAGGCAGGAAAAGCACTGGATGATTTGGGGCCTGTCACTCTCTCAGCACCATTCACCTCACAAGGTGGTTGTGGGGAAAAATCAGAGCTAGGAGTATTAGCTATGTTTGCTGCCTTGACTCATTTGTGAAAAGGCAGGATGAAAATATAATAACAATAATAGCAAGAATGATAATGCTTGAATAAGTCACTGTGCAGTGATAAAACAGGAAGGTAGAAAGAAGTTCACTCCCATTTTACAGTATAAGATTGAAGATGTCAAATCAACACCACTCCATTCTCCTCACAGCCCTCACTGACTGTAAGCAGAAGAAATAAGGGCCTTTTATTCCTCCTTCACTCATTGTCACTCTGTTCTCTCTTCAGATCCAGGGCAGAAATCCGAGTCAGATTCTGCTACTGCACTAGAACAACAACATTTAATAACAGGTTCATCTCTGATGGTAGCTCAGACTAAAGCAAAGCAAATGAACTAACAGAATATTCTGAATTTTGGGGTGCCTTAGTTTATTTTTTTCTATCCTTTTTCTGCAGAAAAGGTCTGTGACTATATCCGCATAGAAAATGGAAGAATGACGGATTATTTGGAACGGTACAAACCATTTCCAATACGGCATCGACAAACAATTCAGTTTCTTTGCTCCCCTGGTTTTCTGGCTGCAGACAAACAGAATAGATGGCAAACAGCTACATGCTTCAATTCCCGCTATGTCCCAGAACCAAAGTGTTTCAGTGAGTAATTCTTTCCCCTTTGCAGTAGATATTGCCAAGTATAAGCAAAACAGCCCAGATGCTATCCTGACCTTATTTACCTTTGAAGAAATAGCATCCTATAGAGATTTCAGCCTGTTTGGTTCTTCTGCCTGCTTCCACTGCTGTCTTTCTCAAGGGTTGTTCTGAAGCCTACAGTTTGCAAAAGAAGGTGTACTGAAACCTTTATTAAGAGAGGTAAAAGCTGAGTCTTTTATAAAATATAAACAGAAAACTAGGATTCTTCCTCATCAGTTTCCTCCTCTCTTCATATCTTGTTATCTCTGTGAATTATGTCAGAGCATGCACAGTCTTATTGTGCAAGATAACCCAGGATACAATAAATAGTGGTTTGTATCAAATGGTGGTTTATCTTACACTATCTACAATATCATACACCAGGAACAATATACATACACATGCTAATACAGCAGGATCCAGCAAACCATAATTACAGCAGGAAACGGAAGAGATAGAAAGACACACTAGTAAAGCCTTCCCTTTATACATAGGCTCTTAAGGGACACAGACCCTGCTGAGTCATTCCCATCATTACATCTTACCTCTTAAATTACATTACATCATTACATTTTGTTATAGCATTACATAAGCTGGTTAGCTATTAAATCAGTACCTTGGCACTCCACCCATTTAAAATGTTTTTACATTGATGCATTTAGTAATAGTAGTAAAGTTGGAAGGGACCTTGGAGGTCATCTAGTCCAACCCCCTGCTCGGGCAGGAAACCCTACACCATTTCGGACAAATGGCTGTCCAGTCTCTTCTTAAAAACTTCCAGTGTTGGAGCATTTACTGCTTCTGGAGGCAAGCTGTTCCACTGATTAATTGTTCTCACTGTCAGGAAGTTTCTCATTAGTTCTAGGTTGCTTCTCTCCTTGATTAGTTTCCACCCGTTGCTTCTTGTCCTGCCTTCAGGTGCTTTGGAAAATAGCTTAATTCCCTCTTCTTTATGGAAGCCCCTGAGATATTGGAATACTGCTATCATGTCCCCCCTTGTCCTTCTCTTCGTTAAACTAGACATACCCAATTCTAGCAACCGTTCCTTATATGTTTTAGCCTCCAGTCCCCTAATCATCTTTGTTGCTCTTCTCTGTACTCTTGCTAGAGTCTCAACATCTTTTTTACATCGTGGTGACCAAAACTGGATGCAGTATTCCAAGTGTGGCCTTACCAAGGCATTGAAGAGTGGTATTAATACTTCACGTGATCTTGATTCTATCCCTCTGTTAATGCAGCCTAGCACTGTGTTGGCCTTTTTGGCAGCTGCCGCACAATGCTGGCTCATATTTAAGTGATTGTCTACTAGGACTCCGAGGTCCCTCTCACAGTTACTACTATTGAGCATGGTGCCACCTATGCTGTACTTGTGCATTTGTTTTTTCTTGCATAAATGTAGAACCTTGCTTTTTTCACCATTGAATTTCATTTTGTTAGTTAGTGCCCAGTGTTCAAGTCTGTCCAGATCCTTCTGTATCTTAAGCCTGTCTTCTGGAGTGTTGGCTATTCCTGCCAGCTTGGTGTCGTCTGCAAATTTGATGAGTTCCCCATCTATCCCTTCATCAAAATCATTAATGAAGATGTTGAAGAGTACTGGGCCCAGAACAGAGCCCTGGGGCACCCCACTACACACTTCCCTCCATATAGATGCAGTTCCATTGAGGACCACTCGCTGAGTACGGCCGGTCAGCCAGCTACGGATCAATCTGGTGGTGGTTCTGTCTACCCCACATTTTTCTATCTTGTCAAGTAGTAGGTTGTGATCTACTTTATCAAATGCCTTACTGAAGTCCAAGTAAATTATGTCCACAGCATTCCTCTGATCCACTAATTTTGTCACTTGGTCAAAGAATGCAATAAGATTTGTCTGGCATGATATATTTTTGACAAACCCATGTTGGCTTTTAGTAATGACTTTGTTTGCCTCTAGGTGTTCGTTGATTCGTTGTTTGATTATCTTTTCCAGGATCTTCCCAGGTATTGAGGTCAGGCTGATAGGTCTGTAATTTCCTGGATCCAATTGAACATTTTTTCTGTGTGTAAATTCCTGTGCAGCTTACCTTGCCTTATACTGCAGTTCTTTATCATCTCTGTGAATTAGATATCATACATTGCATGAATTGCCTCCAAGAAACATAAAAGATAAAACCAAGTTGCTCTTTTTTGCTTTCAGAAGCATGTGATCCTTCTCAATATATTTATTATGGTGGCTTCATTTATAATTACTGGAACACGTACATAGAAGGTGACAACATTACATTTGCTTGTAATAAGGGATATTCTCCTGCAAACCAGCAGTCAACAGTCACTTGCACAAAAAGGGGGTGGTCACCTCCTCCAAGATGTATTGTAACAGGTAAACTGTAGGAATGTCACTAAAATTGCCTGACCTGAAATTGCTTATCATGCTTTGCTGTATGTATGCCTCTGTGTGTGTGTGTGTGTTTGTGTGTGTGTGTGTGTGTGTGTGTATGGTTTGTTAATAATTATTATTTTCATTTTATTTATTATTGATGTGTTTTGATGTGCAAAGGTGATTTGGTGTTGTCTCCAATGAAGATCTAAGGCCCACTAAAAATTGTTGAAAATTGGGCAATATACAAATATAAAAATAAATGAATAAATCAAAGGCAATTATCAAGGAACAGAAAAATAAACAGTAGTAAACATCAACATTACATGATAATATATTTTAACATATATTTTGCAACTAAAACAATTGACTGCATCTAGCACATTTTTAAAACTTCAATGTGTGTGTTTGTGGGTGTGGGTGTGTACATTTGCATAAAAAGAATTAGGTCTGTGCTCCAAATACTTTCACAATTTCACAAAAGTCTTAAAATATAACATTCCCCTAAATGTAGTCAGTGAAGCTGTATTGTGTCTAAAGGTTAGATCGTGGCAACTGGGCCAAACTTTGTTAATTTAAGATATTTCATTGCTCATCCAAACAACTTCATTAGTCAGAGCAAAATTAGTTAGGCAGAGAGTCAGAGAGGCATTGTAATGTAACAACTCTTGCCATACCAAGAGTATGTATTAAACCACTTCATAACATCTGTTATAAAAAATGGTTAACTAATTGTTCAATTTGAATCATAGACTATCTGTATAAGCTTTAAGCCTTTGTTTTAAGCCGGAATGCATACTTTAAATTGATTGGCTGCCGCCTAGTGGTGGTCCGTATAAATATGAGTCAAAGCAGCTGCTAGAGATGCTTCTGTGGGAACTTAATAAAGAGCTGTTATTTCAACTCCATGTCTTCAATGCCTCACTGTTCCCACTATACAACAGTGGTGATGAGGATGGGATTATGCTGCTTGGAAGAGAAGAACTAAGTCACTAAGGGGTAAGACCAGGGATCAGTGCCCTGGATGGAACAACGTTTCCCCCTTCTGCCTGCCAGTACACAAACGCTGGAGGTATCACCATCCTAAGGGACCCATCCCTGGGAATCTCACAGAAGCCCTAGCAGCATAAGGCATTGGAGACACTGTAACAGCCAAGCCATGGCCAAAGTCGGCAAGCTTTCTGAGTTCAACGTGACGCACCCTGGCATTCAAGGTTCATCACCTTCAATTTGGGGTCAGTGTAGCCCCAGGGCTCTTTCAGAGCATGATGGAACGCACATTAAAAACATCCCAGGTGTGTGTCCTTATTTTGATGACGTTCTAAATGCTGGGGAGTCAGCAGAAATACTTGCAGAATGTCTAAGGGCTGTTCTTCAACGCTTCTGCGAAGCGGGACTGAAACTCAAAAGACAAAAATGTCAAATAGGAGTGAACTCCACAGAGTTCCTTGGTTTCTGGATCTACACTGCCAGAATACATCCTGCTGATTCAAAGCTTAAGGCTATTTTGCAGGCTCCCCGACCTATGTCAAAGGGGAGCTGCAGGCATTTCTGGGGTTACTTAATTTTTACCACACTTTTCTTCTGCACAAGGCTGCATTAGCAGAGCCTTTACACAAGCTCCTAGATAAAAGGGGACCATGGCAGTGGACTAGCGCCCACAAAAATTTCAAAGCAGTCAAATCACTGATGTCTTCAGACTCCGTGTTAACCCACTTTAACAAAAAACTGCCTATCAGTATTGCATGTGATGTATTGGCCAGAATACTCCCCGCTTGGAAATTTATATTTCCACTACTAAAATAGTAAAAAACATAGCATCAAGGCATGCAATACTCACAGTTAACTAACTTGTGACTAAATAGGTAAAAACTTGGTATCAAACATGCATAACTATAAGGTAAGCATAAAACATGCACAATTATGAAAAAAGGCAAGTGTTACATCAAACAATGCATAAGACAATACATAATTTGAGGTTTAATCTTCTGGTTCAGTCTTCATCAGCAACAGACCAAATCGGTGATCAGCCTGGTACAAGTGTCTTTGAGTCACGACCTGACTCACGTGGCTTCACGATCTGGATCTCAGCTGGGTAAACTAGTTCATCAAGTGGGTGGGCCCAGTGTGCAAGTCCCCTGGGCCAATAGTTCTGGTATGCAGTCTTGTCTCCCAGTGAGACAAGGTCTTCTTCTTCCTGTGAAGGAAACTGGAACCAAATCTGGAACAGAAAAAACTGGAACCCAAGCTTCTCGGGAATGAGGGGAACTGGATTCACAGGATACTCAGGAACTGAAAAACCTGGAAAGACATAAACAGCTGGATCTGGAAACACAGGAACAGCTGGGGCTGAAGAATCAAGTTCAGGAACACCAGGAAACTCAGGAACAGCTGGAGCTGGAAACTCAGGATCAGGAACATCTGGAAACTCAGGAACAGCCGGAGCTGAAGAATCAGGAACAACAGCTTGAGCAGAAGACTCAGGATACTCAAGAACCGAAGGGTCTGGAACCACCGGTGGAGAACTGAAGAGGGCTGCTACTGTTGTTGTCAGGGTGAGGACTTCATGTGTGGGTGTCGGTGTATTTAATGACATGGAGTCCATGAAAGGCAGTAAGTCCTTGCAGGCTCCTACAAGGCTAATTCTTGGGGTGCTGAGACAAGTGATCAAGACGATCAAAACTATGCCTAATTTCAGTTGTCTCCGCTTAGACAGGGTTTTGAAGCGGATTGGTTGATGTTTACCGGGTTTCTGAGGTTGAAGGTTGGCACTTTGATCTGAAGCTGGAAGTGCATAATGTTTTGGTCTACGTGGCTTCTGTCTATTTGGACAGGTCAAGAACTGAAGACTTTCTAGCCAGATCAGTTCTGTTATCTGTGTGGCAAGGTTGGGCCACTTCACTTGGTTAACAAAGTTCTTATTTGTTGGCACATGTTGCCATTGTTCAGGGCTTAAGGATATTTCAATCCTTTTCTCTCTGTTGCTTACATGGATGTAGAAGTGTCCACTTTGTTTGCAGATGTAGCTTGACATCACCTTGCTGTCTGCGTAGAAGGTGGTGGACTGTAGTTCAAGGCACAACGTCTTTGCTGTCAAGTTGGTCAGCTTTACAGCCAAAGTGGTGCCATATAGCTGTAACTTTGGTACAGTGTGGCCTTCTTGTATTGTTAGTCTCGCTTTTCCTAAGAAGACACTGAGACTGCAGCACTCCCCGCTGTAGACTCTGATGCATCTTATGGTTGCAAACAAGATAACATAAGTGTGGCTCTCCCCACTGTAGAGTGACATGTATCTTAAGGCTGCAGACACCTTCGTAGACACATCTAAGGAAGCGTACAACTCTTTCTTCTGCACTGGGGCAGGTGAGCTGGAGACATACATGCGCTGCACTTGCATGCTTTGGAGTCATTTGTTCAATTTGTGAGATACGGGAGGTTCGGCTGTGATGGGAAGATGCCTTCGAAAGGCGGGAGGCGCCTGTGACATGCGGTTGTTGGGACATGCTGGAATGTGCCTTGGATATGTGGCAGAAAAATGAGGCTGTTCCAGACACGTGGGATGGAGCCGCATGCGACTGTTGGGATGGTGTATGTGAATAGTGGGAGACTTCGGACTCAGCCCTGTCGACCAGTCTTCCTCTCTGGCGAGGCTTGGGCTGTGGGGAACCCTGTGAGCTCTCTAGAAACTTCTTGCGTTCCTTGTTTAGTAGCTTGAGGCTTTGCATCTCGCCATCAACTCTTGGGTCTCTTAATTGTTCCTGAATGTCCTTGAGTTGCCATTCAGAGTCCATCCATTGCTCAAGGGCATCTTCTTTATCTTCTTCCAATTCACTCACCTGTACAGGGGAAAGCTCCTCCTGATGCTCTTGGTAGAGTTGGAGTAGTTTCCTCCAATGTCTTTCATGGCGCTTGTAGATTGACTCCCATCTTTCCATCAGATGTGAGTGCATGGCTGCTGTGGGCTGGTTGGTGTATCTCAACTAGGCTGGTTGGTTGAACCCCTTCTGCTAGACCAGTAGGATAGGTTCAGTGTTCAGTGTTCTTCCCAGCTATTTTGAAGAGAATTTGAAGAACTTTTCTCTTTGACCACTAGGGGTCGCTACTTGTAGATCAGCTTCTGAGGTGCTGTCTGTGGGTGGAGATGCCACTGGGTGCGTTCTCCTGCGTTTGTGGGTACTTCAGTGCAGTTCACCCCTTCACCACTAGGGGTCACTTGCTGTGGGTCAGCTACCAGGGTGCTCTGGCTTCGAGGTTCACCCTTTGTCCACTAGAGGGGCTTCTCTGGGTGCGGTTAAAGGCTTGCATGTAGTGCCTGCTTTAACCACTAGGGGGTGTCCAAAGAAAGGCCAGCCAAATTCTTCCTATTACCATGTTACTGCTAGTGGCCACTGAGAGAATGTAGAGGTACAAACTCCCACCTGGCACTGTACTGCTAGTGGCCACTGAGAGAATGTAGAGGTACATACTCTCATCTGATTACCTTTGAGTGCAGGCTGTGACCCTGGGTCATCAGCTGTGATAATAAGCAAAGAGACTTGGCTTTGATTTCTTCTGCCTAAGTTCCCTCAAGCTGGAACAGCTTAGTGCTCAGCTTGAGTGAATGAGTGAATGCTTTTGGTAAGTTCACTCTGTGCCCTCTAGGGGGTGTTGGTAGCTTGGGATAACTTTAAGTAGCTTGCACTTTAACTAACAGATTTGCTCTGTTGTGTGCTGAATTAATTGTGGCTGTTGTAACTCAGCTTTAAAAAAAATTGCATGACCACCAGGGGGTGCTTCTGCGATGATTCCTCCTTATAACATTGGCTGAAATTCCGAGCATACCTAGGGGCTGTGTCACTATGGCAACGGATGAGTTTGTTGAAAGGCAATCGGCCTTCCTTGCTTTTGTCTGAACTTTAGAGGCAGTCATTAAACAGTTCTTTGTTTCAGGCTGCGTAATTCACTGGCAAAGAGGGGAGGGGGATAAAGCCCAAGCTCCTTTTGGTGTTAAAATTCAAACTTTTCATGCAAGGAACAAAAGTGTAGATTTTTTTTTCTTTCTCCCCGCTATAAACATTAACTTCTGAACAGAACCAAAGCAATCAGATACAAGGCACTTTTTACTTTGAAGCATTGGCTAGCAAGCGAATTAGCATAACAAAACTTCTGAATCATTCCTTGAAAGCTGTCTTTAACACAGACACACTGGCTTTGCTTTGCAGGCTTTTAAAGGCATCAAGAGAATCTTTACTTGAAAGCTGTCTTTAACACAGACACGCTGGCTTTGCTTTGCAGGCTTTTAAAAGCATCAAGAGAATCTTTACTTTACTTCCTTGAGGGTTAATGTAGAGAAAAGGCTAACCGATTTGATTCTCTTTCTTCAAACTGTTGCAGCTTTGAGAGGAGAATTAATCTTTGCCAATTTACTATTTGCTTTCAAAAGATGGCACAAATTATGAAAACACTTTCTTACTATTCTGACACAAATTTAAAGTGTTTCTTTTAAATCCAGTCAGATAGTTAACTCAAAAGAAACGATCTTATAATAAACAAAATATATTTTAATGAGAAAGATTACTTGCGTTCACGTTGTGATTGGTGCTGCTGGAAATACATCTTTGTTCATCTTTTAGATCATCCCTTTAGGTAAGAAAGTGTTATTGCTCTTCATACCCTTTTTATGCTTATAGTGTGACCTTCCATGGCCCATGCTTCTTACAGATAAAGAGATTCCCATATGGCTTGTGTCCAGGAAGTCTCCCAAAGACCTTTGGAACTCCTCCTACTGACCCATCCACATACCTAGCATTTAACCCCATAACTGCCAGACATTCCAACATAGAACTGGTCCATAGAGCTCTATGGCCCATAGAGCTATATGGGCCAGAATATGATGCTTCCTCATATGGAATAGGAGCAATTCTGAGACATAAAATGGCAAATGGGCAGCAAGCGCCCATAGCTTATTACTCAAGGATACTTTAGCCCACAGAAAGAAATTACGCACAAATAGATAAGGAGGCTTTAGCCATAGTTGCAGGAATAAAGAAATTCCACAATTTCCTTTACAGTCGGCCATTTATGGTCTTTACAGACCACAAACCCCATCTAGGTCTGTTTATTACAGACAAGAAAACTCCTCAGATCCTTTCTCCAAGGATGCTGAGGTGGTCAATCTTTATGGCAGCCTAAAATTACAGCTAGTCCATAAGCCTGGCAAGGAAATGGGTCATGATGATGCACTCAGCAGATTGTCCCTGCCTAATTTAGAATCAGACCCCGTACCTGCTGCACACATCCTGTCAATTCAGGATTTGCCTGAATCTTCCCTTCATGCACGGGATGTGGCTGCTGAGACAGCCTCCGACAAAACTCTCAGTCACGTTTTGAACTGGATGCTGAGGGGGTGGCCAGGAACCAGTCCTGGAACAGAATTATAGAGCTTTATTAGAAGACAAGATCAGCTGTCTGCATACAAAGGATGTATTCTATGGGGGAGCAGGGGGTGTAGTCCCACACACATTAAGGGAAAGAGTCTTAGAATCTCTGCATGAGGGAAATCCTGGAATAGTCAGGATGAAGGCACTCGCAAGAAGCTACCTGTGGTGGCCAGTGTTGGATAGGGATATTGAGACTCAAGTTAAAAGATGCCAGGTTTCCCAACAGTCCAGACCTGAAATTCCAGTACATCGCTGGGAGACTATGCAAACTCCCTGATCTAGGATTCACAAGACCCTTCCAAGGATAGATGTTCCTCATTGTAGTGGACAGTCACTCAAAGTGGCTTGAGGTAGCACCTGTCCCTTCTATGACTACTGCCAGAACCATCCAGGAACTGCGCAGAATCTTTGCCACACATGGCTTACCTGATGTAATTGTATCAGACAATGGGGCACAATTTACTGCTGCTGAATTTCAGTCATTTCTAAGGTCTAATATGATTAGACACACAACCTCTGCCCCATTTCACCCAGTCTTAATGGAAAGGATGGTCAGGATGACCAAAGAAGCACTTAAAAGAATAACAAAGGGTGATTGGCATCACAGGTTGGCAGACTTCCTGGTCTGCCAACACACAACTCCGTGCACTTCAATGGGTCATAGCCCAGCGGAACTGAGATAGGGACGTCGGCTGACTATGAAGCTGGACATATAGCAATTCCAATACAGACTCAGATCTGACTACTAAAATATGGAATACATATAGCTTATATGGCAGTAAGATTTATTTTATGCAACTAAAGGGGAAATTAGATGCCTTAAGTTTCTATAAGAAAGATAGCCCTGAATCTGCCTAATCAGATACATTAATTTCCCCACTCAATCTGCCTATGGATTTTCCAACATATTGTATACAGCTTTTCTTAACAGTCTCTTAGCCCATGTATTTCAAAAGAGGCAATCTTCCTCTGGTTTCACTGGTTTCCCAGGTATTTTATAAAGAATTCACATTTTATAAACAGAAGAGTTCACATGTTATACTTCCTTTTTCCATTAGAAGTTGAACACACCTGTAAGGTTCCTCTATTCCAAGGGCATTTTGTACCGGAGCAACAGAGTTTTCGGATCAATGATAAAGTAAAATATATTTGTCAGGATGGCTATACAACCTCAAAAGGAGAGACTGAGGTAGAGATACAGTGCCTTACAGAGGGCTGGAGCCCAGAGCCAGAATGTATCAGTAAGTAAATACAATTCCATTGGAAGATAGATTGAAACTGACTGTCGTAGACCAAGACATGGAATCTTGTTCAGTGAAGAATAGCCTGATATCATAACCATTTGTAAATGTAGCTCTTCAAGAAGTTTAACTATAGTATAAAATGACTGTATTTGATCATGATTTTAAAAAAATAACTTGTAACCTAAATATGTGCATATTTTTATTGTAAACATAACAGTTTGTAGAATTTGCATTTTATTTCCTGTCCTCCCAAGAGCTTATGCCATATCACAAAATATCCTATAGATGCAAACAGAAAATATATATTATGGAGTTTGCATTTACAGAGAGAGTTATATCCCCTTAAACTGGTAAAATGACAAGAAAACCTGTTGAGCATATGCCATGTTCTCTGCACAACATATAATAAGGACAAAATTTAGTTCAGGTTCAAAAGCAAAAACTGCTGAAAGAAACAAAGTGCTCACAGAGCGACTGTCTGCAGTACCTTAGATAGCCACAACTTCAGCACAATCCTGAAAAACTATGCATCTGTGTTCAGATGCTAGAATCATGAAAGGGCCAGTGAACCAGTCTGGAAGACCAAATTGTCTAATGTGACCTCCTGACCTGGTTGAAAAGCAACTAACCATGTTTGCCAAAATCACTAGCATGAAGCAGTGAGAACCTATTTATATCAACTCATCATTTGCTTTGTGCATGGGCTTATACCAGTGATGATGAACCTTTTAGAGACCGAGTGCCCAAACTGCAACCCAAAACCCACTTATGCATCATTGGGTGCCGGGTGGTCGTGGCCCATTAGGGGGTTGTGGCCCATTGGGTGGGCGTGGCTGCGGTGGTAATAGCAGACTGCGTGGGACTAAAAAGTTCAATCAATCAATTCCAACTTTGCAAGATCTTTTTTTTTCCACGCAAGAAGTTGAAATTGACTGATTGATTGAACTTTTTTTTTTTTTTTGTACATGGCGGCAGAGGCCTAAAGCAAAAAGGTTTTATAAAACCCAGCTGAAGGCTTAGGACTGGGGCAACGGTGCGTGTGCCCACAGAGAGGGCTCTGAGTGCCACTTCTGGCATCCATGCCATAGGTTTGCCACCACTGGTCTATACCTAAGAGGTCATTCTTTGGTGAGAATTGTTGCGCTTACAACTTAGATTCACGAAAAAAGAACTGAGACATTAATAATATCCACTCTTTGATTCCTCAGGGACATGCTTAGAGTCACCTGCAGATAATTTTATCTTCAACACAACTAAGCCTGTTTTTTTTCCTGGAGACGTACTTCACTATGAATGTAAAGAGGGGTTTGAAATCACTAAAAGTAGCATCAGTGACACCGTGATGTGCACTGAGAAAGGTTGGGAACCTACTCCTCCTAGATGTGTGGGTAAGTTAATGAAACACCAGTCTAATAATCCTATTGTCTAAATCAGTTCATCAAGAATATTTTCCTGATGATTTCCATAATGTTGCATTTACATTTTGTTGTTGTTAACTGCGAAGTCGTGTCCGACCCATCGCGACCCCATGGACAACGTTCCTCCAGGTCTTCCTGTCCTCTACCATCTTCTGGAGTCCATTTAAATTCACACCTACTGCTTCAGTGACTCCATCCAGCCATCTCACTCTCTGTCGTCCCCTTCTTCTATTGCCCTCAATCTTTCCCAGCATTAGGCTCTTCTCCAGTGAATCCTTCCTTCTCATTAGGTGGCCAAAGTACTTGAGTTTCAACTTCAGGATCTGGCCTTCTAAAGAGCAGTCGGGGTTGATCTCTTCTAGGACTGACCGGTTTGAACGCCTTGCAGTCCAAGGGACTCGCCGGAGTCTTCTCCAGCACCATAGTTCAAAGGCCTCAATTCTTTTGCGCTCAGCCTTTCTTATGGTCCAACTTTCACAGCCATACATTGCAACTGGGAAAACCATGGCCTGGACTATACGCACTTTTGTTGGCAGGGTGATGTCTCTGCTTTTTAGAATGCTGTCTAGATTTGCCATAGCTTTCCTCCCCAGGAGCAAGCGTCTTTTAATTTCTTGGCTGCAGTCCCCATCTGAGGTGATCTTGGAGCCCAGAAAAATAAAATCTGTCACTACCTCCATTTCTTCCCCATCTATTTGCCAGGAATTGAGAGGGCCGGATGCCATGATTTTGGTTTTCTTAATGTTGAGTTTCAAGCCAACTTTTGCACTATCCTTCTTCACCCGCATCAAGAGGCTCTTTAGTTCCTCTTCACTTTCTGCCATTAGAGTGGTATCATCTGCATATCTTAGGTTGTTGATATTTCTCCCGGCAATCTTAATTCCAACTTTTGATTCATCTAGCCCTGCCTTTCTCATGATGTGCTCTGCATATAAGTTAAATAGGCAGGGTGACAGTATACAGCCTTGCCGGACTCCTTTTCCAATTTTGAACCAATCAGTGGTTCCGTGTTCGGTTCTCACTGTTGCTTCTTGACCCGCATATAGGTTTCTCAGGAGACAAATGAGATGGTCTGGTACTCCCATCTCTTTAAGAACTTGCCACAATTTGTTGTGATCCACACGATCAAAGGCTTTTGCATAGTCAATGAAGCAGAAGTAGATGTTTTTCTGGAACTCCCTAGCTTTCTCCATGATCCAGCGTATGTTGCCAATTTGATCTCTAGCTCCTCTGCCTCTTCGAAATCCTGCCTGTACTTCTAGTAGTTCTCGATCCACATACTGCTGGAGCCTAGCTTGTAGGATTTTAAGCATAAAACTTTACTAGCATGTGAAATGAGTGCAATGGTGCGATAGTTTGAACATTCTTTGACATTGCCTTTCTTTGGAATTGGAATGTAAACTGACCTTTTCCAATCCTGTGGCCACTGTTTCCAAATTTGCTGGCAAATTGAGTGTAGCACTTTTACGGCATCGTCTTTTAAGATTTTGAATAGCTCAGCTGGAATACTGTCACCTCCACTAGCTTTGTTGTTGCTCAGATTTTCTAAGGCCCATTTCACTTCACATTCTAGGATGTCTGGTTCGAGGTCAGTGACCATCTCATTGTGGTTATCTGGGATGTTAAGCTCATTCTTGTATAGTTCTTCTGTGTAGTTTTGCCATGTCTTCTTAATCTCTTCTGCCTCTGTTAGGTCTCTGCCATTTTGGTCCTTTATCATGCCCATCTTTGCATGAAACGTTCCCTTCATATCTCCAATTTTCTTGAAGAGATCTCTGGTCCTCCCTATTCTGTTGTTTTCTTCTATTTCTTTGCACTGTTCATTTAAGAAGGCATTCTTATCTCTTCTAGCTACTCTCTGGAATTCTGCATTCAATTGGGTATATCTTTCTCTTTCTCCTTTGCCTTTTGCTTCCCTTCTTTTCTCAGCTATTTGCAAAGCTTCCTCAGACAACCATTTTGCTTTCTTGCATTTCTTTTTCTTTGGGATGGTTTTAGTTGCTATCTCTTGTACAATGTTGAGAACTTCCATCCATAGTTCTTCAGGCACTCTGTCTATCAGATCCAGTTCCTTAAATCTATTTGTCACCTCTACTGTATATTCATCAGGAATATGATTTAGTTCATATCTGAGTGGCCTAGTGTTTTTCCCTACTTTTTTCAATTTAAGCCTAAATTTTGCAACGAGAAGCTCATGATCTGAGCCACAGTCAGCTCCTGGTCTTGTTTTTACTGACTGTATACAGCTTCTCCATCTTTGGCTGCAGAGCACATAGTCAATCTGATTTCTATGTTGACCGTCTGGTGATGTCCATGTGTAGAGACATCTCTTGGGTTGTTGGAAAAGAGTGTTTGTTATGACCATCGTATTCTCTTGACAAAATTCTATTAGCCTGTGCCCTGCTTCATTTTGTACTCCAAGTCCAAACTTGCCTGTTATTCTGGTTATCTTTTGGCTTCCTACCTTAGCATTCCAATCCCCCATGATGATAAGGACATCATTTTTTGGTGTTAATTCTATAAGGTGCTGTAGGGCTTCATAGAACCGGTCAATTTCATCGTCTTCAGCACCAGTGGTTGGGGCATAGATTTGGATTATTGTGATATTGAATGGTTTGCCTTGGATTCAAATTGAGATCATTCTGTCATTTTGGGGATTGTATCCCAGTATTGCTTTTCCTATTCTTTTATTGACTATGAAGGCTACTCCATTTCTTCTGAGGGATTCTTGCCCACAGCAGTATACCTTATGGTCATCTGAGTTAAATTTACCCATTCCTGTCCATTTTAGTTCGCTGATTCCTAAGATGTCAATGTTCAGTCTTGTCATCTCTTTTTTGACTACATCTAGCTTGCCTTGATTCATGGATCTTACATTCCGGGTTCCTATGGAGAAAAAATCTTTACAGCATCGGACTTTCCTTTCACCACCAGATATATCCACAGCTGAGCGTCCTTTCGGCTTTGGCCCAGTCGCTTCATTCTTTCTGGCGCTACTAGTACTAGCCCTCTGCTCTTCCCCAGTAGCATATTGGACACCTTCTGACCTGAGGGGCTCATCTTCCAGCGTCATATCTTTTTTTCCTTTTAGTACTGTCCATGGGGTTTTCATGGCAAAGATACTGGAGTGGTTTGCCATTTCCTTCTCCAGTGGATCACATTTAGTCAGAACTCTCTGCTATAACCAGTCCGTCTTGGGTGGCCCTGCACGGCATAGCTTATAGCTTCATTGAGTTACACAAGCCCCTTCGCCACGACAAGGCAGTAATCCATCAAGGGGCATTTACACTTGGGTATACTTAAAAGTATTATAGTCCTAAATTACTTTCCAGAAATTGGCTTTTCAAATAGAAACTTTAAAAAAAGTAGAATAATTCAGGATAATTAATCATGTATTTAATTTTCTCCCATTTGTTCTTCCAGTAATTTCTAAATACTAGCTATACTTTCTCAATAATAATTTATTTATCATATATTCACAGATTTTAAATAAAAAAACATAAAAATAATATAAATAATAAAAAGGATAACCATATCTCATTATAATCATCCATCCACAGTCTATGTTAGGGAGAGCCAGCATGGTGTAATGATACTGGACTAGGTGCAGGGAAATCCAGTTTTAAGTCTTCGTCTCAAAGCAGCTGGGTGACCTTGGACCAATAAGCATCAGGCTTTGAGACAAGCTGACTGAAAAACAAAACTCCTCATCACATTGTGCATTGACAGCTTTACTGTGTGATTAGACAAGCACAGTACAGAAACAAGCAACCCTAGGACAAATCCTAAGATGGAAAACACCACGAATAACATGACCTAATTTAATGATTTTAGGCATTGCAAAAACATGTTTCATTGAAATATAGTCTGATTTAATCTCTGATAATAGATTAATTTACCCATTTCTTTTCTATACAAATGAAGTGGAGTCCAATGTCCAAGATATAATTTTTATTGAATAATGCAAAATGTCTATGGAGATTCTCAGTCATCCAGGTCATGGTTGTCCCAAAGATGCTTATTCAGGAGGCAACTGAAACTGCAGTTGCCTCCTGAAAAGCCCCTTTGAGGTGAACAATGCAAAGTTTAATATCTGTTGAAATATTGTTAAAGCAGCTTTTTATTGTTTAGATCAAATTCCTTATTCGACCTAACCTACTTGATATTGATTTTTATTTTGATGGATGTATATGTACAAATCAAATTGATTTATTGAGAAATATTTTTAAAGATTAATCACAAAATTCTTAGTTTCAAAAGACTTGATAATCCAGCTCCCCCAACATCTATATATCCATTGCCCAAGACAGACCAATCTAATGGAACCATAGTGGCACTACAGAATCGCATGGTAATCAGGGTGTCATCTAAGACACTGAAAGCTCCCCCAATTTCAAATGACACAGCCACAACTCCAACAGGAAACCAGATCTGGAGTATGATCATTATCCCATGTTGGGCTCTGGTTAAGCCCATGATCATCAAAATGGGCATGAATTCCTGAGACATCTGACTCCACTCCTAGAGAAGGCAAATGGAAGTCCTCTGAAGTCTGGGGAACTACACTGCCATCCTAGAAATGGAATGAAAGAGCTCAGGCAGGGAGGATATTGTACAGCAGGAACAATAGCAACAATCCCAATTAATCCCTAGAGGACAGTTTAATGAACAGGGTCTCCCACCTGGTGACCTGGTGGCCCTCAGAAGCCATAAAGGATTCCCAAATAACAATCAGCACCACCACTCCACTCCAGTATAATACTGGCAAATTCTGAGGAATGTATAGTAGAACTCATAAGGAATCTAAAATCATGTTTATTTTATATATAAGCATAAGTGCTTCAAGCCTTCTGGCAAGCAGTTTCATTCTGAAATCACCTTATTCTATTTAATTCAACATTTTTATAGCATTTCTATGTCATGCTCCATTTTTGGAAAATGGCACAATTGATCCAAGAGAGGACGTATTTCAGCATAAAATGGTGGTGCATTTTAACTGTGACACAGGATTCACAAGAGTTGGCCCTGAATCTGCACAATGTTATCACTTTGGATGGTCTCCACTGCCTCCAGTCTGTAAAGGTAAATATGGGCAGTTTAAGAATTATTACTGTATTTGAGGCAGGAGGAGGGAAAATAGGGACAGGTTTTTTAAAAAATATGTTCTGTTTTCTAGATTGTGTGAGGAAAGCCAATCATTGGCCAATAAACAGATTTATCTTAGCAGGATGCTTTGAATGAACATCTCCATTTATAGAAATGCAACATAACAGCAAAACTGTATTCATAAATTGTAAATAGAAAATGTTTATATGAATAGTAATATTGTTTTTCAGTTTTTTTTATATAGTTTAGAGGCAATTTCTTTTTCATTATATTAATAGGACTTTTGAAAAAGAAGTCAGATAGCAGAATTACAAGTCTGTTATGGTATGCTATTTTGATACTCTCAATACAGATATTTATTAGGCTTAAACAGACCACCTACACAAAACCAGAAATGCATATTGCAAAAAGAAAGAAATGGTAGTTCTCCTGTATTGACAAGTAACAGCTGGATTGGCAGTCCGTTTTTAATTGCAGTCATTAAAAAACACACCATTTTTATTAAACTTTATAAAAGATTACAATTAAAACAGTAAAAATACAAAGTAAAAAAGAAAAATAAGAAGTGCAGAAAATGATGAAAAAAGAGAAAGAAAAACAGAAAAGAAAAAAATATTAAGAATATCATAAAGAAAAAATATATAAACAAGTAACAGAAGACTTCTAGTATAACCCTCAGCTCAAGAAGAACCATACAAAAAGAAAATATGATGAACAAATAATGAGAAAAACATTCCGTTAACACCTTCTAGGAAAATAAAATGATGGTAAGAAACTATTTATTTGAAAAAATCTGATTCTCCTGATCCAAAGGACAAGGAAAAATCTTAGCTGCTTTTCCAAAGGTCTTTAAGATGAGGACCAATTCTATATTGAGGGAAAATGTTTCAAAAAGGCTGGTGCATCCTTCAGAAAGGCACATAACCTGGGCCCCACATTTTCCCAATGAAGGAAATCAGATCAATATATACTCTTGGGAGCAGTTGGCCCTGCAAGTAGCCAATCCTATCCCATATAGGGCTTTATAGATGGTAACCTGCACCTAAAAATGCATTTTGAAGCCTGTTGGGAGCCACAACAGCTCACAGAGTACATAGGTCTTGTGGGCAAAATGATAGACATACATAATTACTCATATCATTGCATTCTGGATGAAGTGAATTTTCCAGATGGTCTTCAAGCACAGTCCCATGTACAGCACATTGCAATAATTCAATCAGGAGGTGACTAAGGCATCAATGACTGTGAGAAGTTCCCCTATAAAGATTAAAGAGGATGACTTTGATAGAGACAAGGAAGAGCTGTTACTAAGTCAGTGAGAAAGAAATATTGCAGAAGCCCAAATGTACAAAAACCAATCTAATTTACAGGACATATAAAAGAAGGAGGAATGGAAACACATTCAGATCGGCAAGAATGCTATATCCAATATCAATAAAATGTATTTTAGGCTTCTATGATGTCTATTTTTTTGGTCTGATCCAGGATCAAGCACAGTTGGCATGTAAAATGAAGTTTTTCAAAGGCTCCCCTGGCCACAATTGCCACCTGCTCTTCAAGTAGGAGCCATGTGTGCAAGAAGTATGACCTGAACCCAAGCAAGGAGGTGCAACCCTGCTGAGAGTCAAGGTTGACTGATAAGGCCAATAACTTATAGCCACTTGGTCTTGTTAGGCTGGATCTAAAGTCTGTTCTTCCCCACTCAGATCCTCACAGCCATCCAGATACTATGACAGAACTATGACAGTTTCATTTGAACAACTAGGAACAAAAATGTAAAGCAGGTATAATTGAAATATGATAATACTGCACAAAAACTGGGAATGACCTCCCCTAACAGCTTCATGTAGGTATTTAGAAAAAGATGGAGCTAAGCCTTTAGTCACCCCCACCAACCAAGAAGTTCAGACTACACTGCTCCACCTTACATTGACTGGAACCAGCCCTGGAATAAGAAGAAACTCCTCAATAAGTGCGCCATTTCCCAAGCTCCTAAGCTAGTCCAGAATGTAACTGTGATTGATGATAACAAAGGTTCCTTTTCTTTTAGCCATGGAAGACCTAACAACAAAAGCTAATTTATTTCTGAGTTTTCTTCAGTATTTAATCTGAAGGAGACAGTTGTCTTTGCTCAGATATTTAACCATCGAGCCCTCTGGGGATTCCTTCTAGGCATTTAAGATAAATGTTTGACCATGTTCAGTGTTACTTTTCTTAAAACGGAGCACTCTGTTCTAAATATAACTTCCCTCAACTTTCTAATATTTTCATTCATTGTTCATTCCCATGTTCATTCAGTCAATGTTTTTTCCCCCTTTTGGTTAGTACCAAGTCAGGAGAGCTGATCCTCTTCTAACTTTCCACAGGCTTTGAAGAAGACAATTATTGGAAACTCATATCTAGGCTTTGCTGAAGAGAGGTCCACGTATTAGTACAACTTCACATATCTTTAAAGACATTGCAAACTTAATCCACATCTTTTTGCATCTTTTTGAGGGAAAGGGAGAAAATGAGTAACAAATAGCTATAGCAGACACAAAAAATACTTATTTATGTTTTTAAAGTTATTTCTAAAATATACTCTTGGACACCAGACTTATACTAACATTTTTCATAAACATTATCTACTACTGCTTTTGTTCCTGTGATTGTTGTAATAGATATATTGTTATATATACAACAATAACAATATTCATGCATATCCCTCTGGGACTTGAGTAAACATTCAAAATAAAAGTGATATTCTCTTTTTTTCTAGAAAATGTTAAATCTTGTCAGGCATTACCCAGGATTTCACATGGCATGGTTACCGGTGAACGTAAAGCAGTATATCAGCATGGTGATCTTTTGGAAGTTCAGTGTGATATCTCATTTGCACTTCATGGATCAAAAATCATAGAGTGTGTGGATGGTGAATGGGCACCCTTACCATCATGCATAGGTAAGCAGAAATATGAGCAGATAGTCTTGTAGATGTAACATGGTAGTTCCTTCCACTTAGCTTGGGGGGGGAGGGAGAGGTGGGGAGGAGGGTCCATGGTGTGCAAACTGGAATCTTTCTTCATAACAGATTCCAATGCATTATTAGTAGAGAATGGAAGGGTAAGATTACTTTCCAGTGCTTAACTAACAAAATTATAGAGGAATTAAAGTATTCTGATTTATCCTAATAATCTCATGAATCATGAATGTATTCCTGTGCTTACTTCTAGTACTTGGGTCCTCATTACTTGCAATAGGAAGTAGAAATTGAGAGCTGTCCTTCTCTTTGTAGCATTTCCATGGCTTTGTTAGTACAAATGGTAGAATAAGACATTGCTAGAGACAGCATGATATCCGGAAAATTTGGGAAAAAGTACTGGAAGTAAAATGAATGTGGGCTTAATATAGCTAGCTGGTTTATCAATTCATATTAAAAATACCATCACAGGTTTGGAGACTTCAATATTGCAAATTAAATAATAACTTGACAAAAAATTGCAGCAATTGGCAATAAAAATATGTAAGTCATGGTAATATAGTACAAACTGAGAGTCCACATATATTTGCCTTCTTGATTTGATGAGCACTTTCTGTCAAAAATATTTAAGGCCTCTAACAAAAATGAAAAAATAAAAACTATTCTTAATGTTCTATATGTACAGTATTTATTTATTTATTTATGATAACAGAGTTACAATAGGTACATGAAACAGAGGGGCAAATTGCTGGAAGAGCTAAATAATTAATACCTTTATGTAATAACATCTTTTCCTGCTGCTTTTCAACAGAAGAAGCAAAAACTTGTGGACCACCTCAAAAAATTACAAAGGGAAGTCCTGTTGATGCTACGGCATCCATATACAGGCATGGTGAAACCGTGGAATACAAATGCCAAAAACGATCTGTCATTATTGGGACCAACCCAGCCAAGTGTCTTCATGGACAATGGGAACTACCATCATGTCTTGGTAAGCTAGAGCGTTATGGCTAACCCTACAGAAATGAATTTTAAGCTTGTCTTGGATTACATTAGTATTTATTATTGACATGATTGCTCAGAAGTGTTATTCAGTGGATTAACAGTGGGATCTGCCGCAAGGAGGTCTAGGTTATATTGAATTGGTTTATGCCAGTGTGGTTCACAGGTGCCTTACTTTTCCAGTCTGATCCCTATTTAAATGAGAGTCCTCAAAGATAATGGGGAGATACACAGAACAGTGTTAGCAACCCCTTTTGAAAAATATGAGACATACAAAAGATACTTTCAGTTTGACTAATGTTTGTTTACGCAGTCTGTACCTAGCAGTATTTATTAAACAATGTTCATAGTTGTTTTAATTATTACGCACTTACAATTTGGCTCAGCAAAGAGATAAAAGCCAATTAATTCAATAATATATTCCAGTGAGTTATAACATAAGAAACAAATTAAAACGTCTATGATAGATAATAATCCAAGTAAGTCATGTTCATTGTTCTGACTGCATGTAATAACAATATTAATTTCTAGACATTCCAAATGACATATTTATTTTAAGGGATTTTCACAGGGGCTATGGAAAAGAAGCATTTTAGTGCTTTTGAAAATGATTCAATCCCAAACATAATCCTGGTGGGATTATGTCTATTTATAGAAACAGTCTCTGATGATAAAAACATGATGTGGCTCTTCTAGTACACAGTAGAACCAAATGATCCAAGTTATAGCTATTGGTTCAAGCTCACAGGTACCTGAACTAGCAGCCAAATAATTGATTGTGCAGGACACAATGCATTGACCCCCTCAGTTCAAATGTTAGAGTTCTCAAACTCCCAATTAAGTAACAAGTGATATTAAAAGGAGGTAAGAGAAAAATAGGGAAGGTTCAGAATAGTACAAACATTAGCATTCTGGACACAAATTAAAGAGCAGAGTGAAGTCTTAGGTAACCCAGTCAATAAACTGTTCTAGTGGTCCAGGGAGTGAACCAAGGGCTTAATCATCATTATAATGAAAAACTGGCAGATTATAAAATGCAAATTCAGTGCAAATGAATTGCAAAATGCAATTCAATGGTGAGAAAAGTAAGGTTTTACTCTTAGACTAGAAAAATCAAATGCACAGATATAGAACAGGTAGTATGTGGTTCAACAGCAGTAACTTTAAGAAGGATCAAGGAGTCTCAGTGGACAACCAATTAAAAATGAGACAGCAGTGTGCTGCAACTGCCGAAAAAGCCAAAGAAGTCCTAGGCTATATCAACAGAAGAATATTATCAAGGTTACATGAAATGTATATAATTTACTTGGATTCAGTAAGGCATTTGTTAAAGTAGATCACAACACATGATAGCAGTATTCCAATATCTCAGGGGCTGCCATAAAGAAGAGGGAATTAAGCTATTTTCCAAAGCACCTGAAGGCAGGACAAGAAGCAACGGGTGGAAACTAATCAAGGAGAGAAGCAACCTAGAACTAAGGAGAAACTTCCTGACAGTGAGAACAATTAATCAGTGGAACAGCTTGCCTCCAGAAGCAGTAAATGCTCCAACACTGGAAGTTTTTAAGAAGAGACTGGACAACCATTTGTCCGAAATGGTGTAGGGTTTCCTGCCCGAGCAGGGGGTTGGACTAGATGACCTCCAAGGTCCCTTCCAACTTTACTACTATTATTATAGACCTACTACTTGATAAGATAGAAAAAACATGAGTTAGACAGCATCACCACCAGATAGATTTGTAGCTGGCTGACCAGCCATACTCAGCGTGTGGTCCTCAATGTAACTGCATCTACATGGAGGGAAGTGTGTAGTGGGGTGCCCCAGGGCTCTGTTCTAGGGCCAGTGCTTTTCAACATCTTCATCAGCAATTTGGACGAGGGGATAGATGGGGAACTGATCAAATTTACAGATGACACCAAGCTGGCAGGAATAGCCAACACTTAAGAAGATAGGCTTATGATACAGGAGGATCTGGACAGACTTGAACACTGGGCGCTATCTAACAAAATGAAATTCAGTGGTGAAAAAAGTAAGTTTCTACATATAGGCAAGAAAAGTCAAATGTACAGGTATAGTATAGGGGGTACCTTGCTCAATAGTAGCAACTGTGAGAGGGATCTCGGAATCCTAGTGGACAAACAGTTATGAGCCAGTAGTGTGCTGCAGCTGCCAAAAAAGCCAACACAGTGCTAGGCTGCATTAACAGAGAGATAGAATCAAGATCATGTGAAGTATTAAGACCACTTTACAATGCCTTGGTAAGGCCACACTTGGAATAGTGCATCCAGTTTTGGTCACCACAATGTAAAAAATATGATGAGATTCTAGAAAGAGTACAGAGAAGAGCAACAAAGGTGATTAGAGGACTGGAGGCTAAAACATTTAAGGAATGATTATATGCCTAGTTTAATGAAGAGAAGGACGAGGGGGACATTTGAGCAGTGTTCCAATATCTCAGGGGCTGCCACAAAGAAGAGGGAGTCAAGATATTCTCCAAAGTGCCTGAAGGCAGAACAAGAAGCAACAGATGGAAACTAATCAAGGAGAGAAGCAACCTAGAACTAAGGAGAAACTTCCTGACAGAACAATTAACCAGTGGAACAACCTGCCTCCAGAAGTGGTGAATGCTCCAACACTGGAAGTTTTTAAGAAGAGACTGGACAGCCATTTGTCTGAAATGGTATAGGGTTTTCTCCCTGAGCAGGGGCTTGGACTAGATGACCTCCAAGGTCCCTTTTAACTTTATTATTATTACCACCACCACCACCACCACCACTACTACTACTACTACTACTACTACCGCTTTATAGTGCTTTGGTAAGACCACATTTGGAATACTTCATCACTTTTGTCACCATGATAAAAAAGACGTTGAAACTCTTAAAAGGGTGCAGAGAAGAGCAGCAAAGACGATTTGGGGCTGGAGGCTAAAACATATGATGAACAGATGCAGGAACTGAGTATGTCTAGTCTAAAAAAGAAAAGAACTAGGAGTGACATGATAGCAGTGTTCCAATATTTCAGGGGCTGTCACAGAGAAGAGGGGTCAACCTATAGCTTTCATTTTTTGTTGAATGGTTTTCAAGATAGTCAGCCATAGATTAGGATTTCTATGTTCCTCACAATAGGGGAGATGTATAACTGGCAGCCTTGAAATGCAGAGTGGGAACAGAAAAGAAAGGGATAAGATTATCCAGGTTTGTTTGTTTGTTTATTTATCAGTCCAATCTGAATACTACCCACCTCATTAAGACAACTTTCTGTCTGAAGTTTAATTTGAGGAGCACATCAAATCTAAAATCCTACATAGGAGAGTAGAAAGAGAGTACAATCTGTCAATCAGAGTAGATAACAGATGAATAAACCAGAAATTGATCAATATATTTTTGATAGATGTACTTGGAATATGAAGTCAGATAGTGCAGAAGAAGGAGAATGGATTATATAAATAAACAGAACAATAATTGATTTATTATTTAAATACTTATGTAACAATATTTGAATTGTTAGTTAATCCACGAAGTTGTGCACGTCTACAGCATGCAGACTTTCAACCAGGAAATTTGTTTAAGACCAACCAGTTTGCAACCTACCGCTGTGGTTCCAATCTGCAGCGAACAAAATGTGTTGATGGATCATGGTTTCCCAAGCCACAGTGTAAAGGTATCATTTGCATGCTATGTACAAGATTATGGTTTCTTCAATAGGATGATGTTAATCATATCTAAAAAATAAAAAGTGGGGCACACCTGAGGATTGTCTTCCTACATAACATCTTTTGAGGGCACACAATTTCTTCTGAAAAGCTCCATCATGATCCCATGAGCTTGGCATGCTTTGTCTAATCTGATGTGGTAGTGAGACAGTGTGAATGTATCCATTTCAAAAGAAAAGATAATTTAGCCATGTAAAAAAAAATCCTTCTCAACAATTCAAGGATAAAAGGAAATATAGCATTAGCCTTAAAATCAGTTGGTTTTTTCCTTAGTAACTATTTTGTTTCTTTCATAGCAGCAGCTCAACTCAACTAGTGTTCTAGTCTGCATTTGGACAGCATACTTTTGCTCACTTTCCCCCATTGGGCAACAATCTAAATTCAGTGATAAAATTTCATTTGTCACATTACAAAGGTTGTTTGCTTTGAATCTTTTATCGTTTAAGAAATTTAGATGAATTTATACAGAACAAATGCATGCAAATCTAGTACGGAATTCATCTTTGACTTTTGGCACTTACATGGAGACATCCATACAGATTTCTTGGCATATTAAAACAATTCACTGGAATATGTTTCAGAATTTCTGCTGCTTAAGAAGACCATTTGCACCATTATATTGCTCCTAGTTAATTTAAAAATATCTTCATTAAGAATAAATCTTTCACTTTTATATAGATATAAAACATATATATATATATATATATATATATATATATATATATATATATATATATATGTAGGGTCTTGGTTGTTCGGGTTTTCTCCCGCGTAAAATTGGAAGTGTCTTGGCGACGTTTCGACGAAGTCCCATTCGTCATCTTCAGGCTGGTGTTTTCAGCTTCTTGCTTTGAGCAGCAATGTGTGGTTTAGCTGTTTCTTCCTTTTAACTGCCAGTGAGGGTATGAACTGATTGGATGGGAGCTTGGCTGTGTTCTGATTGGGTGGAGGTGTGTTCTGAATGGTTAGGGGCTTGGCTGTGCTCTGATTGGCTGGGGGAGTGTTCTGTTTGGTTGTGCTCAGGTTAGTCTGAGTTGCAGAGGGGTTTAAGATTTTGGGGTTAGGGAGTCGTTTGTCAATAAGGGCAGGTTTCCAAATGGCTGGTAGGCGGGAGGTATCATCTCGCTTGTTCATGCTGTGTGGGCGTTTTTCTATCTCGATGGCTTCTCTGATTATTCTGTTATTAAAATGTTCACTTTTGGCAATGGTTCTGGTATTTTTAAAGTCAATTTCATGTCCTGTGGCTTTAAGGTGTTGGACCAGGGAAGATGTTGGTTCCTCTTTTTTGACTGAGTTCTTATGTTCTTCAATGCGTGCACTTATTCTTCTGTTGGTTTGTCCGATGTATGTGGTGGGACAAGTGGTGCATGGGATTTCGTATACTCCTTGATTTTCTAATTCAATTTTATCTTTGGGGTTTCTAAGGATGGTGGATATTTTTCTGTTTGTGCAGAATGCTGTTTTGATGTTGTGTTTATGAAGGATCTTACTGATTCTGTCTGTGGTGCCTTTTATGTATGGGAGGAGGGCTTTGCCGTTTTCTTGTTCTTTGTCTTGGATTTTGGTGGGGGTTTCTTTTTGGATTAGGTTTGTAATCTTATTTCTATGGAATCCATTGGATGTTAGTACATTGGTGAGAGTGTGTAGTTCGGGTTTTAGGTGTTGTTCGTCAGCTAAGCGTTTTGTTCTGGAGATGAGTGTCTTGGCTACAGAGTTGATCTGTGCTGGGTGGTGGTGTGAGAGAGCGTGCAGATAGCGGTTTGTGTGTGTTTTCTTCTGGTAGATGGTGTGTCCTAGGGAGCCATTGGATTTCTTGTAGACTAAGACATCCAGGAAGGGAAGTTGGTTGTTAGCTTCTGTTTCCATGGTGAACTGTATTTTGGGGTGTAGGCTGTTGAGGTGTGTGAGGAAGTTGTCCAGTTTTTCTTTCCCATGTGGCCAGATTATGAAGGTGTCGTCTACATATCTGAGCCAGAGTTTGGGTTTGTGATCCGATTTTTCTAGAGCTTGGGTTTCAAAGTGTTCCATGTAGAGGTTGGCAATGACAGGTGAGAGGGGTGATCCCATGGGTGCTCCTTCTGTTTGTTTGTATTTTTGTCCGTTATAGATGAAGTATGTGTTGGATAGGCAGTGGTTGGTCAGATCTAAGATGTGTTTGGGGGGGTTATATTTGTTTTGAATAGCTGTCAAGGCTTCTTTGATAGGCACTTGGGTGAAGAGGGATATGACATCGAAGCTCACTAGTAGGTCGCTGGGCTGTAAGCTTTGTTTCTTTATGATCTCTATAAACTGGAATGAGTTTTTTACGTGTGAGGTGATGGATTCTGCATAGGGCTGTAGTTGTTTGGCGAGAAATTTGGCTAGGTTTTGTAGAGGTGAGCCTATGGAGCTGACTATAGGTCTGAGTGGGGTTCCTTCTTTGTGTATCTTGGGGAGACCATAGAGTTTAGGGCATCTGGATGATTTCTCTCTGGGAATGATTCTTTGCTGGATCTCTTCGCTAATGGGGGAGGCTTTTATCTTGGTTCTGGTGGTTTTTTCCAGGTAGGTGGTGGGATCTGTATTTAGGGGTTTGTATGTGGAGTCTTGGAGTAGGTTGGTTAATTTGGTTTGGTAGTCAGATGTGTTCATAACCACCGTGGCGTTGCCCTTGTCTGCTGGTAGGATTATTATGCTGGTGTCTTCTTTCAGGTTACGTAGTGCTGTCTGTTCCTCTTTGGGTAAGTTGCTTTTGGGTGGCTTGCTGGTGCAGAGGATGTTGGTGATTTTGAGTCTGATTTTGTTAGCGTCATCGGGGTTGATTTTGGTCAGGCTGGTTTCAACTCACATATAATGGTTTCAGTGGGGATGTGTTTGGGAGCGACTGCAAAGTTGAATCCTTTGGAAAGGACATTGGTTTCGGCTTTGGTGAGGATCCTATCTGAGATGTTATGCACTGTTTGTTTCATGTGTGGCTGTGAGGGAGGAGGGGTTTGTTTCTGGCGTTCTTGTAGTCTTCGGAGTTTGTTGGTGTGTGTATCTGTCTTGAGGGTGGTCTGTGTTTCGGCTCTCCAGACGGCGAGTTGTTTGGATTTGTCCCAAAGTGCGGGGTGGATCTTGTTGCTGAGTTTGAGGTGGAGTGTGAGGAGATCTTTGTTAATTCGGTCTAGGAGGAATCTTTTTGTGTGAAGTTCATTTCTGATTAGGGCCAATTCTGTTCTTTTCAGGATCCGTTTGGTGGCTGCAGAGTTGGAGTGGAATTTCAGTTGGAAACATGTGGGGATTAGATTTTGATCTCGGCAGTTACGTAGGAATGCGAGGTCACATAAAATGGAAGCTCTTTGGACTTCAAGTTTTTCATAGGTCCTGGTCAGATGGTGGATTTCCTCCCCGTAGAGGTTCGATATTTGTTTTCTGAGGTTTTCGCGGGTATTTGTATATAGGTCTTTGGTTGTTCGGGTTTTCTCCCGCGTAAAATTGGAAGTGTCTTGGCGACGTTTCGACGAAGTCATTCGTCATCTTCAGGCTGGTGTTTTCAGCTTCGTGCTTTGAGCAGCAATGTGTGGTCTTAGCTGTTTCTTCCTTTTAACTGCCAGTGGGAGTATGAACTGATTGGGTGGGAGCTTGGCTGTGTTCTGATTGGGTGGAGGTGTGTTCTGAATGGTTAGGGGCTTGGCTGTGCTCTGATTGGCTGGGGGAGTGTTCTGTTTGGTTGTTCTCAGGTTAGTCTGAGTTGCAGGGGAGTTTAAGATGGTGGGCTGCCTTGCTATTTTTTGGCTTTGTGTTCGTGGTTGTGCCTCATCTTCATGGTGGGTGTCAGTTTGCTTCATGTATGGATTGGAGGGGTTTAAAGTGGCTAATGATGCAGCTGTGGTCTGGCTTCTGGTTTGTGGTCGTGCCTCATTGTCGGTGTGGCTTTGGGTTTGCTTTTTGCGTGGATGTGTGGTGGTAACATCCTGTGTGGTTTTTGTGAGTATGGGTCTGGTATCATTTTTTGTGTTAGGGAGTCGTTTGTCAATAAGGGCAGGTTTCCAAATGGCTGGTAGGCGGGAGGTATCATCTCGTTTGTTCATGCTGTGTGGGCGTTTTTTCTATCTCGATGGCTTCTCTGATTATTCTGTTATTAAAATGTTCACTTTTGGCAATGGTTCTGGTATTTTTAAAGTCAATTTCATGTCCTGTGGCTTTAAGGTGTTGGACCAGGGAAGATGTTGGTTCCTCTTTTTGACTGAGTTCTTATGTTCTTCAATGCGTGCACTTATTCTTCTGTTGGTTTGTCCGATGTATGTGGTGGGACAAGTGGTGCATGGGATTTTGTATACTCCTTGATTTTCTAATTCACTTTTATCTTTGGGGTTTCTAAGGATGGTGGATATTTTTCTGTTTGTGCAGAATGCTGTTTTGATGTTGTGTTTATGGAGGATCTTACTGATTCTGTCTGTGATGCCTTTTATGTATGGGAGGATGGCTTTGCCGTTTTCTTGTTCTTTGTCTTGGATTTTAGTGGGGGTTTCGTTTTGGATTAGGTTTGTAATCTTATTTCTATGGAATCCATTGGATGTTAGTACATTGGTGAGAGTGTGTAGTTCGGGTTGTAGGTGTTGTTCGTCAGCTAAGCGTTTTGTTCTGGAGATGAGTGTCTTGGCTACAGAGTTGATCTGTGCTGGGTGGTGGTGTGAGAGAGCGTGCAGATAGCGGTTTGTGTGTGTTTTCTTCTGGTAGATGGTGTGTCCTAGGGAGCCATTGGATTTCTTGTAGACTAAGACATCCAGGAAGGGAAGTTGTTTGTTAGTTTCTGTTTCCATGGTGAACTGTATTTTGGGGTGTAGGCTGTTGAGGTGTGTGAGGAAGTTGTCCAGTTTCCAACAATATATATATATATATTGTTGGAAAATCATACATACAGTATATTTTGTCCTTCCTCAAATGTTTCAAAGTCAGTTAATTTACAATAAATGAAAAAACCCTATAAATTGATAAGAAATATATTAAAATAAAATGTAACTATTTTAATATTTAGGCTACAAGGCATGTCTTCATTCCTTCCCAAAATTGTGGGAATATGGGAGGCATCCTAACTTCATTTGCATTAATTAAATTATTTTTTGTTCCATTCGTAGATAAGCAAATATTGTGTTGAATGGAGAAACTTTACCTGAATTAGAAGAATGGTTTCAATTGGTTATCTGTCTTTGTGCTAACTGGTAGCCTTTCCTCACACTACAGTTCAATATCAGCTTGTCCACCTTAATCTAATTTATGATCAATTCTGAAAACTACTTTTATATCTGCCAAGTAGCAATACAGTTAAATTTCACTAGTGTAATTTCACTAATGTCATGGCTGCAAAGTTTGATGATTCCTTCTGCTTCACCAATTGTGGGCTTAAAGTAAAAGGATCTTGCAACAGTGACTCATATTGCTATTTTATGTAATTGGTAATTGTTCTAATTGAGTTTGTGACTGTTGAATTGGTTTTGATCTTATATGTCTTTCACTATAGTTGTTTTATATGTACCATTGAGAGTTTCATGATTGTAGTGAAGTTCCAGTAATGATCAAAGGGAACAAATGGCTCTTTTGTGAGAGTTTTCAGGTGAAAAGTTTAAGGATGAATTATGAGTACTAGGTGACCGCAAAGGGTTAGAATTGGAAGAAACAGACATCATGATTTAAATTTGGATACTGAAATGTTATTTTGTGGAAAAACAGACTGATATGAGAGCAGATAGCACAAAATAATGATTGAGATAAATATAGAAAAAAGATTTGCTATGGTTTGATACGAGATGGTATCTATAGTTTTTTGTTATTGTTTGTTCCCCAGTTGGGTCATTCCTGGCATTCTGTATCAATGTGGAAAGGAAAGTCTATATAGCAACGACTAGAGACCTAATCAGAGCATGCTGTTAGGTGCTAAATCTTGGAGAAAATTTCTGGAGGATGAAATGATTAGTCAAGGATTCTCACTATGCAAGCAGTCTACCCCACAGACAATGAGAGACTGGCAAGGGAAAGAATAGCACATAAGGTCTTTCACTAGTTCTCAATAGATTTCCAGGGTCAATTCTTGGTTTTGATCTATAAAACCTCTATAGTTGCAGGTCTCCAATCACAATCAGCCAGTTTACATGGAGAAGGTGCTTGTGATATTCAATTTCCAGGAAATGAGGGGGGAGGACTGAGATATAAAATCACTGATCCTCAGTAGTAGCACTAGACTTCTGGAATAGCATTTTTCTTTAGGAAAATGTTCCAAACTGATCTCTTTCACAGAACATTGTGGATTAATTGCATGCCCTGTACTAAGACCTATTGTTAAAGTACTATTATTAGGATCTGGTTGCTATTTAACTTTGAAAGTGGTTAATTTTTGCCTGCTGTTTATTTCTTACTATAAGTGTTGATCTGCAAACAAACAAATATCTCCTGAAACTTAATGCAATTATTGACTGACAGGAATAAGGATAGAAGCCTGTGGGTCAGCAGAATCTGATGGCCGTAGTACCCAAATCTACTTCCCCAGCATCACATGTGGACATCAGCAATCAAGAAAAATGAGAACCATAAGTTTCTCCAAGCTTCAGTTGCCAAAGAGAGAATATCATAATCAAATGTATGGAAAGCTACCAAAAATGTGAAGGGCACCACAAATATTATTTGTGTCAGCTCTGGTAGCCATTTGCCAACTGGATAAAGCAAATTTCACCCTATAACTCATCTGAAAGCCTGACTTAAATAAGCCCTGATAATTGTATCATACAAATACAATTAAAATTTCAATCTCTTTGTGATTATGAATTCTCAATCACAGGAGACAAGAGATTCAACATACTGTAAAAACCTCCTAGGAAAATACTTCGGATTCATCTTCTTTGAATGAAGTAGAAATGAGATAATTTTCAGCTCTAGTCCTAACCAAGTTTTAATTATAAGATGTTTTTGTTAAAGAAACCTGCCCTCCACCACCTCAGCTTCCCAATGCCATTAATATAGCCGAGATGAGAATCTACAGGAGCGAAGAAGAAATCAGCTTCCAGTGTCAAGAACATTTCCTTCTTCAAGGCCCACAAAAAATAAAGTGTGATGATGGAAAATGGCAAACACCTCCACGCTGTCTTGGTTTGTATGCTCAGTTTTGCCTTTATTTTTTAAAAAAACATGAATATTACAGATAAAGTGTAAGGATCAAAAAGGTAGGGAGAACATTCAGAGCATGGCTTATGGAATTCTTCACAGCCATTTATCCACAGTGGCCTCTCTGTATACGCATGTGCTCTGTTCCAAGAGCAGGTTCTTTACAGATCGTACATGTTGCCTCTGTGTTTCTCTGGATCACATGATCAAGAGGGAGGAGCTTAGGATGGAAGGACTGACAGCATCTTGAGCCTTTATCAACTGCTCCAATAGCAGCTGATTTTTTTGCATAGAGGTTTGTTTTCTGAATCACATTTCATTAAAAGAGATTTGCTATAGAGACACAATAGAAATTTCTTTATGATATTTTATTTCTTTAATTAACAAACCTTCCTGTGTCCCCTGCTTCTAGATTTACGATGTGAACCTCCTCCTCAAATTGGCAATGGTGTACTAGAAATTGAGAACCGCACATTTTTTCCTGGTGAAGTTGTGAAGTATACTTGCGTTTCAGGTTTTAAAGTTAGTCAAATAAATACTGTAACATGTGAAAATAAGAAATGGTCTGAGCTACCTGTTTGCAAAGGTAAGAAATAGTACTTTTTTTCTTTTGAAATGCCAATGTATAAAATAACTAAAATGAATAACACAATGGTCCAGATTGGGTAATATCAGTCTGTCCTTAATTTAGAGGAACTAGCCTACAAAAAGATTCCAAGTTACATGTTCCAGTTCCAGTTTATTAAGCACACTGATAGAACATGAATGAGAGTGATAATAAATCCATAGAGCATCAATAATTAAATTTAATGCATAATTCCTAGCTGTAGTAGGAATAGTCATACTTTTTGTCACTATGATCTGGTGCTTGAAGTTAAAGTCACTTGCTTACTTTATGTTTAGCTTTTTGTAGATTTGCTTCTACCAGGGCTTCAATGGGACATAACCTCTGTCTTCAGTTCAGTGGTCATTCAGAACTTGTGCCTTGGTTTTCTCCTTTGAAGATAGAATAACCTTATTAAAATTATTTTAATAATTTACATAGTTGATTTTGAGTCCTCAGCTTAATGGCAATAAATCACAGAGCATCTCGTAGAGTTAAGAAGCTTTTATTGTTGTTTCTTCAGCTCCGTTTCAGCTCTGAGGCACGCAGGCCTCTCTGCCTCTCTTAAGAACTTTCCCCAGACCAAATGGCAACATTTGGCATGCTTTGCTCCTCGCGCATGCGCGCGAAGCAGGCACCAGCCAGTCTGGTCCCGGGCCGCTTGCAACTGCCCGGGACCGTTGCAACATCCCAAGCCTGCCTTTGCAGGCTCAGGACACAACACCCCTTTCCCCCCCTGGCTAAGACTAATAACCATATGGATAGTTACACGCGACCTCAACACGAGCGTGATGTGCCAACCCAGGCTCCAATGTTACTGGGTTATTGTTCTGGGCATTAATACCCAACACCCATATTCCCATTGCTCCCAACAGCAGACACCTTCTCACTGTTTCTGCTTTGCCAGCAGTGTTACAAAGTCCTCAAGGTACTTAGGAGATCTCTTGACTCTCTGTGACCTCCTTAAACCCTGAGAATTCCCAATTCCATTTTCCCCAGAGGATGACATGGATTTGCCCCCTCTATCAGACCCTGGTGGTCCTTATGGACCGTGCCCCGTGCCCACTGGGCTCGTCAGAACAGGACTTTGTTCTCCCAATAACCTGGTTGGCTTACCTAGTTGCAGGCTCTCTGGCCCCTCTATAGAACTGCCACTGTTAGGCAACTCTGCAGTGCCTCCCAGGCCCATACTGGACCTATCAGGGGGATGCATTCCTTCGCTCCCCAGTTCCGTAATGGGACTGTCTGGGGCTTCAGTATTTCCCCAAAACTCAGTTGCCCCCCCCCATCTGTGCCGGAGGTGTCAGAAGTGGGATGTGCCTCTCCGGCCACCTCCCGGTGTGAATACCTCCTTCTGGAAACAGTAGCAGTACTGGGCCAACTAGACTGGTTGTTTGCCAGCTCCCTTGCAATGTTTGAGTTATTAGGATGCTCCCGGTTATTCTCCCTGACTGGAGTAGGCACTGGTGCCTGTGTGCATCCTAGTTCCCATGGATTCCTGTTTGGAACACTCGCGGAATCTTGGAGTAGGCCTTCTGTGGCCTCTCTGTTGGGGCCCGGCTGCTGCCAACACCCATCCCTTTGCCCATTGAGGTCCCTCTTCCCCCCCTGGAAAAGGCCCAGGAGTTTCTGAGGGTAAGTCCAGTCTTATACACAGCTGGTCGATATGCTGCTGAAGGACACAACCATCACCCAACGAGACCTCGTACAACAAGGGACCTGTAACCTTGCAAACTACAGCAGGAACCCACAAGTGACTTGGCCCATAGTTACAGGTCCATACTGGGACACCCATTTTCAATTGCTTCAGTGCCCTGGGTTGTGTAATCTTAGGAGGCAGTCTGTCCGGGTGCAACCGGTCAAGTTTAGTAATCAGTTTGCGCCCCCAGCGAAGTTCAGCTGGGCTTTTCCCAGTAGAAGTTGAAGGTGTGGTGTGGTATGCAAGAAGAAAATCTGCCAACTTGTGGTGCCAGTCCCCATAGGTCAGTTTCTTTAAAGCATCCTTGGTGATGCGGACCATCTGTTCAGCCATACCGTTGGTGGAAGGGTGGAAAGGTGCAGAGGTGGCATGACGAATCATGTTGGCCTGTAAGAAAGCTTGGAATTCGGAAGAGGTGAATTGAGGGCCGTTGTCAGACACCAACACATCCGGAAGCCCATGTGCAGCAAAAATCCCCCTCAGTACTTGAATGGTCTTGGCAGTGGTGGTTGAAGAGACAGGTACAAGCTCAAGTCATTTTGAATAGCTATCAACCAGGACAAGAAGAATTGACCCTGAAAGGGCCCAGCGTAATCGATGTGCACCCTAGACCAAGGTGACTGTGTTTCCTCCCATCTATGCACAGGAGCCTGGGGCATTTCTGGGTGTGAGCACTGACAAATGTGGCAAGTGTGCACCTTAGCCTCAATTTCCTTGTCTAACCCAGGCCACCACAAATGGCTGCGCACAAGCACCTTCATTCTTACAATGCCAGGATGACCCTCGTGAAGGGAACCTAAGACTTTAGACCTCATTGAGGTAGGAATAACAACTCTGCTGCCCCACAGCAGACAACCCTGAAAAGTGGATAACTCATGTCTCTTAAGCCAGAAACTCTGAAACTCAGTGCCTGGACAACTCTCTGGCCATCCAGACAAAACCCAGGATAAGACACGAGAGAGTGTGAGATCTGTGGCTGATTCAGCAGCCACATCCCTGGCATTTAAAGGTGACTCAGGCAGTGCCTGAATGGAAAGGATATTGATGGCAGGGGCAGGATCAGCTTCCACTACTTGTAAGGGTAATCTACTGAGGCCATCAGCATGGCCCATTTCTTTGCCAGGTTTGTGAACTAAAGAAAAATCATAGGCTGACAGAAAGATTGACCATCTCAGCATCCTGGGGGAGATGATATGGGGGGTTTGTTTGTTTGTAGTAAACAACCCCAACAAAGGCTTATGGTCAGTGTAGACTGTGAAATGTCTGCCATATAAAAAATCATGGAATTTTTTAATTCCAGCAACAACAGCTAAGGCCTCCTTGTCTATCTGGGCATAGTTTCACTCAGCAGAAGACAAGGTTCTGGAGTAATACGCAATAGGAACCTGAGTTCCATATGGTCTAAGGTGGCTAAGTACTGCTCCCACCCCATAAGGGGAGGCATCACAAGCGATGCACACAGGGAGAGTTTCATTAAAATGTGCAAGCACACTATTGGATGTGAGTAAGGCCTTAACCTCATTAAAGCTTGCTTCATGTGCTTGTGACACTGCCACACTGCCTGTTTGTCCAGAAGCCTATGAAGTGGTTCAGCTACATTAGCCTTGTTAGGAATGAATGAATTATAGAAATTCAAGAGGCCCAGAAAAGCTTGTAGTTCAGCTTTGGACCTAGGCCTAGGAGCTTGCATGATAGCTTTTAATTTGGACTCAGCAGGATGAATCCCATTGGCATCAATTTTGAATCCCAGAAAATCTGTAGAAGGCACCCCAATTTTACATTTGTCTTTTTTAAGCTTGAGGTCTGTATTCCGGAACCGCAGCAGGACAGCCCTCAATCTCTCAGCTAAATTTTGAGTGGAATCTCCAGCAATTAAGACATCAGCAAAGTAGGGGCAAACCCCTGGTATACCCCTCAAGGTATTTTCCGTTACGCTTTGGAAAATTCCAGGAGCCACATTTACTCCAAATTGTAGTCTTTTGACTTTGAATGCCCCCCTGTGTGTTACAATGGTTTGTGCTACAGCAGCAGCTTCATCAACAGGTAACTGTTGATAAAAGCCTGTACTAAATCTAGCTTTGCAAAAACACGCCCCCCCCCCTTGAGGGAAGCCAGAATATGGCTGACTACAGGTACAGGATAGGCATGTTGTTGCAATGCCTTATTTAGGGTGCATTTGTAATCTGCACAGATGCGAATGTCCCCATTAGCCTTAAGAGGCGTGACTATGGGAGTTTCCCAAGGACTGGAGTCAACAGGTTTTAAGACTCCTTGCTGAATCAATTTGTCCAATTCAGCATCATTTTTTCCTTTTAAAGCAAAAGGTACTCTCCTTGCTTTTACTCTGATAGGAGTGACAGTGGGGTCCAATTTTAAGGAAACTGGGGGCCCTTTGTATGTACCCAGCTGAAGACATCTGCAAATTCTTTGCAGACTTCTTGTAGACCTACTGTTTGCAAGCTATTGAGCCCTGTAACTTGTATTCCCAAGGCCTCAAACCAATCGAGTCCTATGAGACTCATGCACTCACCCCCCACTATCAATACATCTAATGGACCTTCAAAATTCTTATATTGTACGTTAAGGATGGACTCCCCCTTAACACACACTTTGGAGTTTTGAAAGTCTGTTAGAGCTATATTGGATGGCCTAAGCTTGGCCTGGAACCTACTGCTAGAGCAAATCTTTCTGAATGTGTGAATGGAAATAATTGAAAGTGCAGACCCAGTGTCTAGTTCCATGATCAATGGAACTCCTTGCAACTTCACTTTAAGTGACAGTTTCTTTTTGAGTGGCTTGTGTGTGCCTGTCCTATAAATGCTTCTTCGTGAAGCGCAGAAACCCATCCTGTTTTGGCTGGGGACCCTGGTACCTTTCAGGTGCAATTCTTCTCGGGGTTGTGCCTTCTGATGGCCCAGACACACAGCTGCTATGTGACCTTGCTTTCCACATGCTCTACAGATTGCAGAACAGAACCTGCAGTCGGTCCTCTTGTGGCGACCTCCACACCCGAAGCACTTAGGTACAGCTGAAGACTTTTCTTTGCCTTCCTTCTGCTTCCTTTCTTTGGCTGGGTAGAGATGATCCACCTCTTCTTCAGGATACTCTTCCGAGCTCTCCTGGACTCCCTCATGGTGCACGGAAACAGCTTCTGGAGTACTTCTGATAGGCCTCATATTCTTGATTGCCCCACCTGCTGCCTCTTCTGCAGTAACCTCTCTCAAGGCATCTTGGAACGATATGTCTTCCTTTGCAAAAAGTCTCTGCTGCAAGTCTCTGTTTC